TAATGTTAGTGACGAAAACTAAAGCGACGGGAATCTGAAGTGACATTAGGAAAAGATAAACGTCTTTTATCTCCGAACGTCTGATTAAGCGGCAAGGCATTCAACACCAACGTGTGAACTCTTTTAATAACCTGCTGTTTGATAACAAAAATTGATTAGCACACGCTTAATTCTCCTGGAGTATTCCAAGGTCCATTTTGGATAGGAGTCGCTTTTTTTCCTGCCACACGCAAAAACATTTTTGAAGCACGAACATCTCTCTTTTTTAAGTTCTGACACTTAGAAAAAGGTCATATTAAGGTCAAGAAAGTATAGGAGGACAATCATGTGAAGTAAACAAATCTATCTAATTAACAGTTTCTAACCAAAATCACCTCAGTATTCATTTTACCAAATAAGCAGATCAGTTAACAACATCGGTTATCATGTACACAAAGTCTGCTGACGTTGTTTGGAGTTAAGGTGGGATTTAGATTCCTTTCCAGCGCCCTGATCAATGAAAATCAAATACTCTTTTGTCTGACTTTTATTGAATCGATCAGGCATCAAGAGAAGCAGTTATAATTCACAGCCACATAAAAGAAAGGGATAGAAATATAAAATGAGACTTGAAAACGAAACATTTGATAACTCGAGTAAATTAATCTCCTGAAGTAAAACATTTAGCAACCCACGGACAAGAGCAGATGACAAACAGCATGGTACCATAAAAGATTCAAAGGTTGTGGAAGGATTTACGAAGACGTGTCTACATTATCGTGCCAGTTTCCTCATACAACATTGCTAAACACTTTCTTAGGGCCCTTAAATCTTTAGAGTCACTTTCGACCATGAAAACCCTCAATATTCTAGCTGTGTTTTGTTTGATGGCACTGCTACACAACGCCATGGCCTTCCCTCGTTTATTGGGTAAAGGTAAATTGAGCGTTTGCCGAAAGATACCGTTAAATAACTCCTTGATTTTTTTTTTTCATCATGTCAAAATGACTTCTATAGCAATGTTGTCTCGTGTTAAGTGTTCAAGAATGTAATGTTTTTAATCAGGGTTTCATTCATCAGGTAAATATGATGAAGTGAGTGCTGATGAAACCAATATTCTGGAGAACATACTGGATCAAAGGGGGACTGACTTCGGAGACATGGTCGATGAGAGCAACTTTGAAGACGATTACCTGAGAAGAAGGGAACCCATGCCCCTAAAATGTAGATGGTAAGGCAACAGCGTGTTTTACAAAATAGCCTACCATTTTTGGTATGAACTTAAAATGTGATAGTGCAGCGATCATTGTAAATTTACTTCATCAATTCAAAAGCTTTTGACCAATCTCACTGGACTTCAGACTCAGAGTAATATACTGGAAGAGCCTTTTTTACTCAATAATTGCGTGATTTCGAATAGCAGTACTGAATAGCAGTACTGATGCAGGATGTCTGAGAGATAAAATGGGAGCAGTATTTAAATGGTGTCCTTATTTAAAAGTCCAGCTGAGAACATTCAGACTTTTATTAGGCCTAGTTCAAACGTCGATCTTTACATGTACCGAACCTAACGTTTCTATTAAGTACATGTAAAGATCGACGTTTGAATCAATTAGGATCGGCAGATTTGTATTCGGATCGACAGTGCCGTTCTATCCGACTCGGCTAGTCGGATAGAACGGTAAAAGATCGGCATTGATTCATACGTCGTACTTTACATGTACCGAACTTAATGCATACATTATACATACGTTAAAATAATTATGTTTTACCCACAATTCAAGAAAGTTCGCTTACGTGCCATGCGCGAAAGCCTTCGAACCATTCAAACAATATGGCGGGAAAGGAGGAAGGCTCGTGCTCCTCTTGTTTTAAAACTACAAAATATACCTGTCTTACGTGTAAGGAGTACTTTTAATAATAGAAGGCAAGCCAAATTCAAAACTCGTCTTCTCCTGGCAGCAAGGTTGTTTAATGCTAACTGCATCTTGAGTCGCCTTTTTCTACCCTCCTTAATCGCATTTGCGGAAAACAAGCTCTTCATTTCCACAAGTTGTGCTTCCCGCATTTTTTTCCGCCATTTTGGTAGGCATTAACCGCTGACTACAATGGAGTTATGTTCAGTTTTGCAATTAGGATCGACTAAATTCGGATCGACGTTTGAATCAACTGCCGCTCTTAATTATTCGAGTCGACCCAAATTGCAATTAGGTTCGGTACATGTAAAGATCGACGTTTGAACTAGGCCTTAGTGTCGAGTATGCCTGAGAAATTGACTGAGGAAAATTGCCATGTCTGACAATTTTTAAAACGATTCGTGATTTACGTGATCTTAGGGAGAGTTCAAGACAAAAGAAAGAGCCGGGTTCCTTCCATTTTGTCAATTAAGCCTGGAGAGATGTGTTCTTCATAAAACACTTCATCATTTCCTTCATTTTTTTGTCTCTCACCTCAAACAAAAAAGTAGCTGAAATTTCAGTTATACAATAAATGCTATCTCAAATTCAGGCGTCCATCTCCGAATATCAACCAATATTTACCAAACGTCTTCTTTTCCTTTAACTTGGACTGAACAATTATTCAGACTAACGAATAAATTATGATAAACATGGTCGTTGTTTAAACCTTAGCAAAATCTGTTAGGTTAATTAAAAGGTTCTCGAATAGGAAAAAATCCTTTGTCTCCTGACTTATCGTCTATTGTCTCCATGAAATTTTAGAGAATAATTTATGGACAAACTTTTCGAAAAATTAGCTCGTCTTCTATGCCTTTTCATTTGAAAAAGGAAGTATTCAAATCGATAACAGGTGCGCGTAATGAAGGTTTGGCCCAAACTCGATGTTTGTTCATGTCCTAAACCTTGTGTGCATATGTCTAATTTTTGCCATTTGGTACTCTGGATAAGAGTTAAAATCGTGATTGAGGCGTCAAGGAAAAAGAAGTACACGTGACTTTCCTTTTCCGGAATTTTTCAAAGAAAAAAATGACCCAGAACCATCTTCTGAATTCTGATGGTAAAAGATAAACTCCAAGGTCGAATTCAGGTCAAAACTTCCAGCCATTCTGTGATCCACCGTGATTTAAATCCCCCCAAGTCTGTTCCATTTTTTGATAAAGTGGCAATCGCTACTTCATTTATATTTTCAGTCCTTCCCGTTTCCCCCGCCTTCCTCATTTCCCATCCCAAGATTAGACGCGGCTGTACTCAGATGAATAGGACAATTTTAACTGACTGCCTCCTACAAAGTTTTTTTTTTCCTTTGGTCCGTTATATCTCCTAGCTTTCCCACCTCGCTCACCCCTTGGTTAGACGCGGCTGTATTTAGAAGGCTGGGACAATTTAATTGATTGCCTCTTACAAAATTTGTTTTCTTGGTTCTATATCTGCAGGTGCCTCGTTTTAAAAAGTGAAAAGGAATGCGCCGACAGATGCAGTCTGTAGTGTGTACTCTTCTCGTTACATCGTTTTGTCTCCACTGTTAGATTAACGTGCTTCTTAGAAGAACAACGCCGCAAAGAAAACGCAAAAATGCGTGTTAAACTGCTACTAAATCCACAGCGTTTTTTGGCATGCTTCTGCCCCTTTTTAATGTAAGAGAAATGCTCATTATAAGTTCCTTTGGTGATATGAATCCCCAATGATTTGGAGGAGACGTAACATGAAGTTGCTATAGCTCATCAATGGTGGTGCTGTTTATGCATTGGCAGCCCCTTATTGTGTGCTAAGAGAACGCAAGAGCCATTGCTTGAGTGAGAGTTTTTGAAGACGCAGAATTAAAATCAGCTTAAATCAAGGACTGTGAGTTAGCACCCGATTACATTTTCTTCTTTTTTGATCGATTTTATCCCTTTTATCATCCTTTAGTCTAAAAATTTTAGTTAAGGTGTGTTACTTCATTAATTGTTAATCTCGTATTGGAGTATTTTTCTTATGAGTCAATTTAAATAAAAGGGCAAGAAGCACATTTTAAACACGTAGTGAATGCATAAATGTATTTAATACTTACTTATTGGGTGATTAAACAACCATTGACTCAGTATCACTAAAAACAATGTTTGTTACGTCTTACTGTTTATTAATTGGTAATGGGAAACGAACATTGGACTGATTAATTAACCCTTTGGTTATACGCTGAGGGGATGGCCACCACGTCTAAGGAGAGTTCTGTGACTCCAAACATCAAGTTCGCTTTATGATAGAAAAAGCACCATGCCATTATAAATCTTCATATTTTAATTATTCTGTCTTCGGTCGAAATTGAGCCATAGACAAGTCTCCTCTCTCCAAGGGATAGACCCGGCCGAATTACCTGGTTTCATATTCACAACTGAATTTCCACTCGGAACACTCCGCGGAGAAAATACCTCACAATAGATTAAAGTATAAGTCATGACGGACATATTGATTAGAAGTGTCACACTGATTAACTGATTTCGTGACGCAAAATAAATGTTTTGTTTCCTGCACAGTGTAGGAATCTATTCAAGTATCTTTGATATCAAGTTTTGTTATGTTCAAACGAACACAGCTAACACTTTCCTTACTTTATAGAAGGCTAAAAATTAAGGCTCTCATGAACGCATCCAAAAATGCACTTTGTCGGCAAAACGAAAAAAATGTGAAATCATAACTAGAAATCAAACACCGCACGATAAAGATGAGCCTATTAATTTTTTTCACGGCGAAAATATCCACACAGTTTATTTAAAACTCGCCCAAAAAGTGCTATGAACCTGTGATAAATCTTTCATTATTCAGCTACTTTAGAGGAGAGGATCACACTGTCAGGCTTGAAATGAAACAGCCAGAGGGCTTAATAAAAAGAGACTGATCGCATTCATCGACTGATTAAGGAGAAACAGAATCGATCTGTCTAGAGGGTGGGGGTGGGGGTAGGGGGTGGGGGTGGGGGGTGATGGAATGATCGAGGTTCTAAAAGTAAAGTTTAAAATAAAAACAACACGAAACCGTAAGAAGTAGCAGATGACGGTGTAATCAATATGATTCTTCTTTTCCTGTTTCATTTTATTATCTCTTTCATCCCTTCTTTTTATATGGCCCAACAAGAAAAAAAAAACGTATCATTTTCCTATGACTACTTTTAAGATACTTAAAACAGAATTGTGCTCGTTTCAGTGACTTTTTCAACCTATTGCTAACAACTACATTATGCCTGCTGGCTCCATACTGCATCCTTCACTTCTTACAGTTACACATGTAATCATAGGTAGCAATACACCTAATAAAAAAAGAAAAATGTATTAGGAGACAGTCAAGAGGATCACTCAAATCAAACGATAAACCCGTTGAATGTTTATACTGTGTGGTAGTCACATTCGCCGTGCCCCTCAAATCTATGCCCTTCGTGAAGCCTCTCGTGTTTTCCTGCATCATAAGACAAAGCAGAACTAAATTGTAAAGATTCTCCTCACCTGCGAATTTTACAGCACATCGAGCAGGGAACGGGAATGCGGGCACGCTTGAAAGGAGTATCGTTCATTCCTTCATGACTGGCCGACCTTAAACGCATCTCAAAAATTCCATCGTTGTTTTCGTGTCTGTCGGTGCTCCTGGGGATAACGTCTTCATCAGCGTTTTCGTAAGGGACCCTGTAGTTACGTTGAAAGGGACTTTTATTTTCTTCCACTGAGCTGTCGTAATTTCCATCGTATTCCAGCTCATCCCCCTCACTGCGAGCCCAGAATGGGTCTTTGTCTCCCACCAGTGCATCGCTGCGGTCGTTCTTGTTTGCATCAAATACCGTGTTGGCAAGTCGTTCTACAAAATTCAAAACGATCGATAAATTCTGATCTGGCTCTAAAAAATTATCTTCCACTCCGTCTGGCTTTACCTCTGCCCTTGATAGCCAGCTCCATGATGGGTTTGTTGAGTGGCTGGTTAGCTTCCAAGTTAGAAGCCAATTGTTGATTTTTGAGAACAACTGACTTCGATTAAAAATCGTTTTTAGAACGCGAAATTTGAAAAGAAAGATAACTTTTCTCATTATTCTTTTTCTCCAAAATCAATAACAGTGGACGAAGTATTTGAAAAGGAAAGGTAGAAGAAAAGCATCAAAAAAATTAAATGTAAACTCTTTTAAAAATAGTTCCACCAAATGGTGTCTAAGCGATTTGTCACAAGGCAAACATACCTATATTTGAACTAATGTCACGTACCATTCAGTGCACATCATCTAAAGGGTTATATGTTTTTGGAATCTGTTTGACTGAATTACTTTACATCGATGCCGAAAAAGGAGAAAAAATTTGACACAAAATATCGTTTACGAAGCGATATTTACAAGATTTTTTGTCAAAAATACTTACTGGCTGGAATATATGCGGTTCGTCCATGAACCCAGGAGATAACAAGAGCGGTCATTGCAACTGCCAATAAACGAGCCATGTTACTCTGAAACGGTGAGCAATAAAGCGCGCTATAATTCTTCCACATGTAAATCGTTATTGAGAGGTTTGAGTTGTCCAAACAGCATAAATACCTCGCTACGGACAGCTGGGAATGAAAGGCCCGCAGAGACTGATAATGATGCTTCATTAGTAGTTTTGAAACGTTTATTAGGAATAATTGAAGCATTCATGGTTTCCACGCTTGATAGGCAGCTGTAGGAAACCGTGCTGTCATTTCATGAACCAAAGAAACACGTACATTTCATTTTCACAATGATTTCGGGCCAGTTATGATAAATATTTAAAATAAAATTGTCATGAAAAAGAGAGAAGAAAAACCTTCTCTCGGGGAAAATGTTCTCTAGTGAAGTGAGGTAGCTTGTGTATAGCGTAAGAAACAACATCAAAGTGGACTTCTGTTTTCAGTTTCTGAACCTTTGTTTGACGCCGATTTAGACTGGCGTCCTGGGTACGATTATTTTTTACCTTTAGGTTTAGTACACGAAATAACCACATATTAGGACAAGTCTATCAGTTATCATTACGCGAATCATAAAATCATAAAAATTTTAAAAGTTGACATTTAACCTAAATTTGTATCTTATTGCCACGCAGTTAGTTTTTCTCAATTGCTGGTCTGTAGGCTAGTATCGTCCTCGGCTGAGAGATATACCTCAAGTTATATTCCTCGGTTTTCAAATATTTTTCAAAATTTGCTGATCTTTCACGTCACTGTCACGACCTTTACTAGTGATGATGTGTTGATTATCGTGAGGGAAAATTTGTTGTCGTTCACTGTCTCCCATTTCAAGTGTTTTAAGGTCATGAGTTAACCAGATCATCAGCTTCATATATCGCAAAGACGACTTCATTGACTCCATATACGAAGACTATTTTCTCCTTTTCAGCGAAAAAAAAGATCATTGCAATCAATGATAAGTGGGGCTCAGTGTTCATCAATTCGAGATCAGGCCTGCATGATATACTTAGCAAGCCTTTCTATTTCCGTACGGAGAAAAGGATTTGGAAACGCCACGCTCACCATGCACGCTAATAAAAGCGCAGTTCAGAATGGGCCATTTACAGTTGTTTACTTAGTTGCCAAGCCTTTGATCTGGAGTGGTGCTGAAGGTGACCTTGTTGTGATAGAGACCAGTATCTAGTAAGCATGATAACAAAGTAATTTACATTTGAAAAACAGCAATGCTTGTATCATAACAAGGTCACCCTTAGCCTTACTCCTGTTCAAAGGCTTGGCAACCTAGCACTTAATTGTAAAACGGACTACTAACACTTTGATGAGCAAAACGATAACGAAAGGTCCCACCGAGATTTGAACTCGAATCACTGGATTCAGAGTCCAGAGTGCTAACCATTACACCATAAGACCTACGACGCTTCTTTTTTTAAGGAGGAATTCTTTCGTTTATTTTTCATGGCACAGAAAAGTAAAAGCACACAGTTGTTTGCCGTTAATAAGAGTCCAGCACATGATGCCGTTACCGCCTTAGGTTTATTGCCGCCAATAAGGAATTTTTGGATCCGTTATATGACGCTTAGGGCAGATATGATTACTTATTTATTCTATGATAATCGGTCTGGCTATAGTGTGGTCATGTATGTTGAAGGAGATTTTTAAGGGTGCCATTTTGAAGCTATGTGCCCCATAAAGCCTTCTTGAATTTTTTTGACTCGGGGACGAAACAAAGACAAAGCCTACAAACAACCATCCTAGAATTCTAAGTTATGTTGCCGGTAAACTCAGCTTGGAAATCTTTCTGAATAATGGTCTGCCTGCAGGATAGGGTGACGTTTTTGTGAACAACCTTCATCAGCAGGCCATCATAATAAGCACTAGGATAATTTGTAAGCGAGGTCCCATGGTGTAATGGTTAGCACTTTGGACTTTGAATCCAGCGATCCGAGTTCAAATCTCGGTGGGACCTCTGGGATGGACGAATCTTTTTTTAACGAGTTTTTGCTACGTGCTACTATGTGTGTAACCCAACTACATAAATCACTAAACACCCAGAGAGCCTCAGAAAAGTTTTTGAAATCAATCGAGGACTGACTAAAGGCTGACGAAGGGAATGTTGAGATGGCGAGAAAGACTTCAGTAGTCCTATACTTCTTTGTCAACAAGAATTGCTTGCGTAACAAAAATACATGTAGATAAGGAATGCCACAAGTTCCACCCTTAAGATATTTTTGAAATTAAACACTGGATATTGTCCCAGGTTTCACCAAAAAGCACTATCTACGGCAAAATCACACCAGGCACGTGAGTTAGGATCTCATTGGCAGAGTCTAAAACAGATCTTCGAGTACTGAGTTAAAAAACACTTGTGATACATAGCTGAACAAGGCTCTCCGTCCATACTAGTTGCAACTCATCGTTTCTAATTTTTTAACTTCAAAGACCCGTCCTTAACTAAGCTCCCATCATGATATTATATTCCTGGCACTAAACATCAAAATTTGAATGTTAGTCGAAAGGTCCCACCGAGATTTGAACTCGGATCGCTGGATTCAAAGTCCAGAGTGCTAACCATTACACCATGGGACCCGCACCAATTAATTTCGTCACAACAGACGATATCCTAAATACCTCAATGACAGAAATTCTTAGCTTCTATAGAATTAAAAACTGATTGCACTTTTCAAATTATTATTGATTTAATACATATTGCGTAATTGTAAGGATCATAAGTATCACTAGTATTGTCACTTTACCCATTCGTACCGTTTTGCCTGACGCTTCAGCGGCACTGAACATGCGAGTTGGCCGAGCGTTGGTTTGTATTGTGGCGAGACGCAATCGATCCCATACACTCATAGCAAGAGTATACAAGCCTGATATACCGCCAAAGTGTACCGAAATGGTATGATTAGGTATCTTAAATACCCAAATACAGTTTAAAAAAATTCGGCAATTTTCCAGTAGTTATGGTGATGAGATCTGTCAGGCGTCCATCAGGTGGCCCGCGGGAAAAGTAGAGCGAGTCAACAAACGGGGCCAAACGGAAACCGATTAGAGAAAATCCTAACATATTTTATCCCCCGAAACATTTAATCGTATATTTTCATATGAATCCTTTTTGAAAAGAAAATTTCAATCTAGCCAACAATTGCAGATCCTGATCAAATTATTGGATTCACAAATGACTTATTAACAACAGCGAAATAATTTGCGATCCAAGATTATTTGTGAAATCCAGAAAAAAGCTTGAAATTGCGCTAGCCGTCAGTTGGAGAGGGAGGCTTACTGGATGAAAAACATTTTAGCTCGCAAAATGCGCCACAGTTCCCGAAAAGGTGGTAAAATTTTTGAGTTTTAAATAGAGAGCAAATTGAGAAATTGTGCGAAATTTAATCGATCGGTATGTAATTAAATATTTCGAAACAAGTGGCCAAAATACTAGAAAATAACGTAACTAAGGGGAATAACAGATTCCTTCTTCGATGGTTTGGTACATGATACGCACGGACGAACGTTTTACTCATTGCTAGTATCTCGTGTTAAGCCATTTGATCATTTGTATCAGTATCTAGCTAAAAGGGACGGATTTACAAGAGCTGTACTGGGGGATCGTTTCTAAAATGAAAAGCTGAAAGTGTTGCTTTAATATAGAGTGGGAAAAGCGAAAAAAGGATTTAAATTGTTTTTCAGTGTAGATAATCCCATAAAATGTCGAAATAGAAAGATAAAGAGGAAAAATGAAGCGAAACGCAGCAGAGAAAAATTAGGTCCCACCGAGATTTGAACTCGGATCGCTGGATTCAGAGTCCAGAGTGCTAACCATTACACCATGGGACCACTGACGCTAGGAGAGGAAAAATTTAATTATATATTCATGTTTTAAAATAAGTCCTTCTGATTAAGTAACTCAGCCTTACCACATTTAATTCTAAACTCTCTGGAATAAACATCTCAAAAAGTATCCAGAAACCTAGCTCTCCTCCTGATAGATATATTTTACTTTTACCTACCTTAGCTGATCTAATAAACTCGCTTTCGCGTACAGCTATTTATTAACTGTGATACCGCACCGACCGTGAATGGGTTTTTGACCAAGCCATTACCGTAGTATTGTATTGAAAGAACTTGTGACTATAAATCCAATTTTATTGTAGTGAAAAATTGAAATTTTTTAATATCTTAGATTTAAAAATACAAAATACTTTGGACTTGAAACAAAGATGATTCAGTCGATCTCGGATTTGCTGTCTTTGCTTCCTCTTTTCACCCATGCGAGATCATCAAAACTCGTGAAATATTTTAACTTCAACCATCCTATGATGGTGAGTGCTGAGAACTTAAGATAAAAACAATATTAACGTTGTGCTGAAGGGTTTGAGATGTTTGAACGCGCTCCAATGAGCTGAACAACTTCGCCGCCATGTTTCGCCGCCATGTTTACATTAGTAACAATCACCGCTGACCAGGACGGAACAACGCGCACGGATAGGATTAATCTCAGTCTCCAATTAATGAAATATCTCTTCTGAGATTTAAAAGGCTTTGAAAATAATCTAATTCTAGGCCAGCTTTTCCCTATAGATCCGGTAGTTTTTGGCTCACAATGATTAAATTGAATGGAGGAAAGTGATATGGTTTCTCACTTCTTTACGCCGCTCTTCCGCTTACGAAGAAGCAAGATCGTCCTATGGTGAGCGAAACCAACTGCACTCATGCTATCGCTGAACATTCAACATAAACCCTTTAGTTCCCAGAAGTGATTATCATGAAACTGCTCCCTATAGTATCCTTACATAATCAGCAAACAGGTGCTAAGAAAACTCAAAACTTATCGGGTGAAAGTTGTTATCTGGATATAACACTAAATTTTCATAACTAATTTACGAGGAAATGTGTAGCAGCCAAAGGGGAGGATGAACAATCAGATCTTGGGAGTTAAAGGGGTAAGGTATAAAAGCTGGTTCCATAAATTCTGGTTTGGTGGAAGATGTGTCTCCTGAGGCGGGCAGCGTTTTACCGCGACTAGACAAAAAAAATTGAATTCTTAAAGCCTGCTACTTGTGTGTCAGGTGTTAAAGATTTTGCCTGAGGATTTCAATTCTATGCAATTTTCAGATGGAGTTCATATGCGAACTCCATTGGTGAATGAAAAAAAATCAGTTCTCTTTTATGAATTTGGAGTACCTTTCGCGTTTGAGTTTTAGTATCCCATAGTGATCAGGGTTCATCTGCTCTGGTCAACACGTAAAAATTTTCTATCATGCCGGCCTCCTTTTAAACTGTCTTTTAAAGCTAAAAAAGATCTTAAACTTTTCAGAGAAGCAGAACTCTTGCGCAATAATAGTAAAGGATACCAGCCACGAGCATTTTTGAACTGAAACTTGTTAAGGAACTGGTTGAGGGCCGAGGTCACACAAGGTCAGATTTAGGGTTAGGGTGAAAGCAACGAAAGAGGCAAACCGTTTTTTGGTTAACTTATTTTGACACGCCGTCAGGAACTTTTCAAGGAAGGTAAGAGTTAATGGGTATGTTACACGGAACAGTGTTCACACATAACAGGTTTACGGAAACATTTCCTTTAAACTAGAAACAGTTCTCCCAATTCGGAATATCACCATGTCATTGCAATCTGTTAACAACACACTAGGTACTGGCATCTTTCCTTGTTGTAAACATTCAATCTATAGGTTCCAACGTTGCGAGCTGCTGATTAACTTTGTAAATTAACTAATCAGTATATATTTGTTGTAATGATTATATCAGTTTTTTGAGAATTCAAAAACGTTGCGTTCTGTAATCATTGATTGCTAAGCTTTATCAGATGATAAATTAATTCCGATTACTCACCTACATGAGATGCGCAAAGGGGAAAATAGATCTTTGACACTGATTTTTTAATTCAATGTTTCTTTTTTAAGTTTCCTAGGCTCTTACGCCTTAGTCTAATTCATCAGTATTCGAAAGCAATAGATTTGTGTGCTCACAACAGGTGCATAACACCTACATACAAAAGGCAAGCCCTGAACCAGACAGATCAGCTCAGAAAAACCTTAAATTTCACGGCGGAAGAAGCGAAACATTTTTATTTTCTATCCTGAGTTATTAAACGAAATTTATAGAAGAAAGGACTATGGTTGACAATGTAAAGCCATGAAATAATTTTTTCAAGTGCCTATGACACGAAATTTTTTTCGCATTTTGTGGCTAATAGCTCTATTTAAAATTAGAAGTAATCGACCTTAGCGCCTACCGAGTTCTCCTTGACCATTTTTTGCGCATTGAAAGTACGATTTGGCGGCCAAAAAGTGTCCCTATTAAGCGCGCGGCTAAAACGATCATGTTACATAGTTGTGACGAAGAAAACTGTGAAGACACGTCGGCAACCACTGAGGAGAAAGGAGAAATCTAGAGGAAAGGACGAACGTATTGCGTGGCCGAAGCAACATAGATGTTAGCTACAAGAATAATGCACATATACCGGGGAATTTTTTACACTACTTTCCAAAGGATGTAGCTGTATGGCCAAAATGGACGCGTTTCGATCGTCGACATCGAGAAGATTTTACTCTGCAATGTCTTCGGCCTTTTGCTCCGTACCGGCTTCGAAGACACCTTTTATGAACACATATCACTGGTCAAATCACGGGAAGATAATCAATGAGTTTAGCTAAAAAAAAATGCTGATTAAGGGGCCTGTTTCCACACCGTACACGTTTGTTCAACATTCTTTTCGGCTGACATTTCGCAAGCGAAGAATAGTGAGCTCCTTACTCCTTACTCCTTATAGATGTTTATTTCACGCGCTTGAGATGTACTCATACTCCTTGTCTTTCTACATGACTAAATTTGCGCTTTTCTTATCGTATGAAAATCCTACCAATTGTAGTTTCCATCATTTGTAATGAAGTTCAAGCTCTTTCCATGATCAATATCCTGTTGCGTCACAGTTTTCTACGTTATCACCAGCTAATTCGTTACCAGTCCACGTGACACTTTTAAGACAAATAAAGAGCACTTTAGGGCCAGAAAAAACCGAGTTTTAAGTTTTCTGAAATTTTTCTTCTACCGGAATTGGTTTGTACATATGATAAGCTAAATATTTACGCAAACAAACATTTCGTGTCATGGGCACTTTACGCAATTTTGTCCTTTGTTTTTTTCACGGGTATCCTGAGATAAGCCTACAAAGCTAAAAAGACAAAAGAAGCAAAACGAGGGATCGTAAAATCCAAACTGCACTGTCCTTTCATATGGTTATTTACTATGTACTACGTACTTTCTAGCATTCCAAAATGAAAACGCATGAACGCATAATTAACTTTTTTACTTTTTTTTTTTGTCTTCCTGCACGAAATACAAAGGGTCCAAAAGGAAATTCAGGGAGCGCTATGAACAATTTGGAGTTCAACAGCGCTCGTGTCTTTGATTCTCAATCAAGGTTATACGACTCTTTTATCGTTTTTAAGAAACACGCACTGCAAATCTCACGACACAAACCTTTTCACGCCACACTTCTAGACTTTCAAATTACGTACAAATCCTGATAAACAAAGCAAATTATCTTAATTGTCGAGACATCTTGCTAACCGAAGAAAAAAGGTTAGTTCGTTCAGAGCTAACATAACGAACCGTTAAAGTTAGGTTGTTCTGAACCTACATTAAGTAGAAAGCTTGAAGTGTCAGTATGTCAAGGAATTGCATATGAAAATATTTTTTTTTTATATGACGATCGAGGAATTGTTTCTGTAAATGGAATATTGAATGGTGTATCACGGCACATATTTTTGAAAAGCAGAGACGGGGTTCACTACCAATTTAATTTACAGAAACTGATGGCTGGTAGGTATTGAATTAAAAGTACCAGCCCTGGTGTATGCGCAGTTTAAGATAAAATGAGACTCCAGACGAGATATTGTAATACTGCCCGTGTTTATTTCTTAGCTATTCGGCATCCAAACATTTCTTTCAAATTTTAAAACACAGCTTTATCTCGCTCGTTTTATTGTACTAACATCAAGCTTAGAAAATCAAATAGTATTATGGAAACGGTAGATAATTTAGTACCATGAAAAATCAAAGATAACTTTACAAGCAATTTGTACATTAGTTCCTTACATGAAAACATTAGCCGTGTTACATAAACTGGCCATAAAACTAGAAATGAAGGGAAGAGAACTACCCATAAACGGTCGCATGTACCCATAAGTCATTCAGCGTCGGATCTAGACTCGTATTCTCGTGCAAATTTTACATCGATGTTTGATCTCACTAAGTTTACCCGCCAATCATGTTGCACGCCATTTATGAGTGATTGCAGAACGTGCGATGTAAAGTGACAGAAATACCAAAGAATGAGAACAATGATGCACAAAGCATTTAATCGACAGTTGTGGACGGTTTGACACGGTTTTGATTTGACGTCATGATAAATCCCTTGTTTAAAAACCACACTAACGGGGCTCTTGTAATACAAAGAAGAGGTCTCCTATAACGAAGATGCCTTACTTTACATGTTGGTTGGGTTTTTAAACATTGTCCAGTTTCAAAGAGAGAAAATCCAGTTCTAGCCGATACCTTGACTAGCATCGAGTTTAAGTTCATGAGTAACGTCATTCATTCAATTGTTTGTTGTTGTTTACAGCACATCGACGCTGCGTGATCCTCTCACAGACGACCTTTTGAGCACAGCTTCCTCCACAGATTCTTCTTGAGGGAACTTGAAATGTTTCCCGGCCTTGCGTGCGAATTCAGCATCGTTACTTACTCGGTCAGAAGGTTTCTTGGGGGTTGAGCCGGAGGGTGGGGTTGCAGTTGGTGCTGGAGTACTACCTGCGGCGCCGCCACCACCTATAACAATACAATTTTCATATATAAGAAATCATATCACGTACGATGTAGGTCAGATCTTACTCCATTTCCTATTTTAGTTATGCATCAAATCCAATATCATGTACCAGAGCAATTTTTACATTTCAAAAGAGTAGGTCATATTACATCAATCAATGTCCGATGGCACTCAAGTGACCAGCACACCAAAAGCTTAACAATAATTGCAGGTTAGATACCTCACCATATTTTATATAGGTCAGACATCAAATTACATATTATACAGGTCGTAAAACGTAATTCAACGCTCATAGGGTACTAGAGTGACCAGCAAGAAGCTGCAAGAGAGCAATGACCAATATAGGTCAGATATCACGCCAAATTTCATATAGGTCAGATACCACATTGTATATAATGTTGGCCACGTAACTACAATCAATAGTCACAGGCTGCTTGAGTGAGCAGCAAAGAAGCAACGACCTCAAAGAGCATTACCGTAACGGAAACATTTATTGTGGTCAATGCACTTGCGTAATTAAGGTGACCTACATGCCGCCCACACTAGAAGAACATGATGATGATGCTGCCTAACTACCTTTTTCCTTCCCACTTCCTTCTATTACTATTACCAGTGTAAGGGGGGGGGGGGGTTAGATCCAGCTTAGGCATGTCTTATACCAAAAAATATCTCCGGAATGCCCCAAAAAACTGGTTCAGAGGCTAAAGCAAGGATTACAAAAGTAACACAGCTCTAAAAGGAGAAGTTTTACGTAATTGAGTATATCGCGCTCAAGCGAATAGAAGTTTTGGTATTTCACCTGTACTTTTCTCATATCAGCCTGTAAACTTGGATCTTTTGAATCGAATTTATTTTTCTGATAACCACACTAAAAGACTAATTTGGAAACATTTCGATAGAACTGATCATAAAAATGTGCCCAAAGCACACAGTATCTTTAAATTAGAGTTAAACGCTTTACATTCTTTCAAGTTAGGAACAAACCAGAGGCCAAAACAGCAGGTTAACATAGCAAGCATCTTTTACTCCCTAATGTCTGCCAACTCCAGTTTTCTATAATTAGTCAAATTGATCTAGCTGTTGAAGATGAAAACTATACTCAACACAACCTTTACTTGCCAAATTCAGTCTATTCAACTAAGTGAAAATATTTTAGAACTGCATTGAATTCACTGTAATTGTTTTAGCCAAAACCTACTTTGTCGATGTTGATAGCCTAGTGAGCATGATTTCTAGTTACTCGGTCAGGTAATAATCTTAATTTCACGTAATCAACGTACCAGAGAAAAACTAATACACATTTGCATCTTGTTTTGCCTGAACTTAAAGTTGAAATGACGATTAAAAGTTCTAATTTTCGAAATTTAGCCTGTACGTCAAGTAATCAATAAATATCCTTGTAGTTCCTATGCGACCAAAATTATACTGTAAATGAAACTGAAAAGTTTTCATTTAGCGCTCGGGATACATTATCTCTCAAAACAAAAGAGGTTCCCGATTGGACCCCTGGAAATACGATAGATATTCTCGATGGTAGCGCCAACTTTTGGGGGTTTCGTGGGGGAAGGGGCGGTGGGGGTGGGGGGGAAGGAGGTCAACAATGTTTACCCGCCCCTTTCATGAATTACTATTATTCCAGATCATCCCCCGCTTTAACCATCATACCTAACCACCGAACATCATGGCAATCAAAATTAAAAAATACTGTATATCGATATGACGAACATTCCCGGGTTTATTTTCAAGTTGATTGTTTTGCTAAACATCCGATTTCAAGGCGAAACGCATAGCATTTTTTCTTATACTTTACAGAAACCTGATTAAAACTTAATCGGCATCAAAGAAAACTATGGTCTTTCACAGCACTTAATTAATTTACACTCGATTTGTACAGAAATTCTCCCATCATAATCAAATAATAAGGCGCGGATCGAGGTGGATTTCAAATCTTCCTTTCTCTTGGTTGTATGTGCTGTTCGTTGCATGGAAAGGTTTAATTATTATGCTGGCATATTGCTGACGTCACTCAGGAAAACCTCAATCAAGTTTCTCCAAAAAATATTGCGTATGGGTGATAGCTTTTAATTTTATGTTACTTTCCGCCAAAGAGAAGAAAAAAAAACGCACAAACAAGTAAACAATTAACAGAAAGAACGAAAAAATAAAAGCCAGCTATCACATGAAGCTTTTAGAGTGTTTCAATGCAGTATCGAGCATGTTCACATAGGTGACGTCAAACAATCCTGATTGTCAATGTTATTCAAGTCGGCAAATGGTGGTCTTCTCGTTGCTCATCCTAAAGAATAGCTTCTTCGACCGACTCTTCTTGAGGTTGGTTAGACTTGTGCCCTTGACCAAAGGCATTTGCCTTATTTCCTAATTCGAAATCGTCATTGAGGGTCGATGGTTTGTCGTTGGATGGTTTGATGCTGTCCATTTGTGGAGTAACACCTTTCAAACAAGACTCATTTAACAGGAGCACATGCATACATAATCATATTATCCCAGTGAAGCGAAAACAAACTACGCAGGTAAGTCAAAGAGCAAAACCAAAAGAGCTGTGTTTGGAATCTATTTTGGAGTGGAAACAAACATTTTATAAATCTAATCCATGAAAATAAGATATGAACTTAATTTAGGAAATACCTGGCAGACACATCTTTGCCAAAGCCTCGATCTCAGCTTTGGTCAGGGCGTAGTTGTAGATCCTGAACTCATCGATAAATCCCGAAAGTGGACGGCCAGCCTTGTGGTCACCAATTCCAGCCCTTGAAAGCCAGTCTCTCGAAAGAAGTCCACCACCAATTGTCATGTTACGCAATTCACCGTTGACATAGATCTTGGACTTGCCTGTAGCGGAGTCGTAGGTTCCTGCAATGTGGGTCCATTGATCTAGTAAGAGAGAAAACGACGGAAGGAGGATTAGTTAAGCATGGCATAAATTTAAAAGGTAAAAACGTTTTGAAGGAAGGTCTATAAATCTTCATTAAGAGATAAAAACAATTTCATCAAATTCGAGCTTGTGAGTGTAGTATTCTCGGTTAATTTGGACCAAAATGCAGAATTTTAGATTTCACGCGTATTGCCACTATGTTTGTCTGAAGCGGTTGCCAGCTGAAATGATGCCGCAAGAAGGAAACCCGTCCTAAGGGAGCAATGTTATGCTGAAAAGAAAATACATAATGAGCAAGCCACATACCTTTTGGCACCTGCTTTCCCTCCGCGGTGACGCTGAAAATAATGTGCTGAGTCTCATTCCTGTGGAACCAGCGCACAGAACCATAGTTCACCTCAAAGTGAAATTGACCGCACTGATGACTGATACCAATGGTATCAAAGACAGATCGGCTGCCTTCGATGTCCTTCAAATTGATAAAAGCAGCAACTGTGACGCCCTCTCTGGGTTTGGCCTGGAAGGTGTCCCCGTGGAAAAGAATGTCCCCGCAGTAAACATAGGCGGCATTTCCACACTTGCTCTTGGGAAAGTTGACCACAATAGCACCGTCTTGAAGGATGCCGTTATTGGCATAACCCGAGGAGTCCTCAACCACATTACCCTTGGTAGTGTTGAACTGAAGATGTCCCACGAGGCGCTCTTTCATCGAAAACAAGTAAATGATTATTAGTAATTATTCTGATAGAGCTGCGAAAAAGGCTCCTTGAAGCTTTAAGCACCAAGAGAAAATAGCGTTCCTTTGTTTTCCCTGGATGAGCACCTAATGAGATTAAGAGTTGCACTACAACTCTCCTAGGAGAATTTTTCCGACTTGCAGTATTGAGTTTTCCAACAGTTACTTATTTTTCCAGGCATAGCTTTTTCTATTTGTTGTTAGAGCGATACATCTGAGGTACTTTCAAATACTCAATGAGAAATCATAGAACAGACACTGTACCTATACCCCTCATCATTTTCCACAATAATTAAATGAACATATACAAAATGTATTTAATTGTGGTGAAGATGATCGGTGGATTTATACTCACTGTCAATTGCCAAGTCAGCTGCTGATGGACTGTCTACATAGCTGGGGATTCCCTCTTTTTTGGCCATGAATTGGCCAGGCTTTGGGTGCCGACAAGAAGCCAATGCACCTGTAAAGAAACCTATGGTCAGAAGAGGCTCGACATCATATTCAGTGCCAAAAGAAACATCGTAATTTGAATGCAATTTCTAAGTTCCAATTCGGTATATTACTGAAGGTTTTTTTAGTGAGATTACACTTTGATCACTGGCTACAGGCCCCCTGAATGAGAGCTTGACATGGAAAGTTAACGGATCTAAATATTGCTGATATAGCAACCGTGGAAATCTCCATTTTATTCCCTATTTAATCAGCTTGTGCACCTTACAGTTTTATTTACTTTAATGTGGTCTTGCAAGCGAGAATCACGTTATAAACGTTATAAAAGAGTTAGAAAATTGTTTTTCACGTCGAAAGGACAAATATGTTCTGCATATCTTTGTTTAAGCCTTCTTTTTAGTCCAAACTCATATTAACACCTACGATTGTTAAATCCATTAAAATTCTATTGTTCTGAAGTTCAACAGGTTCTGAATGGTCAAGTGGCAAAATCCTGTATTCAGTGAGTCTTTGATCGACCCGAGAAGGTCAGCAGTCTTGACTATCACGTCACGGTACGTGATTTCCAGAAGCAGGTAACGGTATTGTTTTGAAAACATGAAATCATTCGCTAATGATTTTGGTTGTCGACTGTAAATATTCTTTTTTCGATTTCCAGCTGTTAGCTTTTGTAAGAAATTATTTTCTTGTCATGAAAAAAAAAAACATTTTTGACGGAAATCTGCATCAAAAATAATCAGTTTGTTACAATAAGCATTTTTGTGTTTGTGTCACCCAACAAATAAATCGATGGTGGTCAAAGAATCTGTGCGAGCCTCTTGAGAAGATTAAAAAATATATTGGAGAAATACACATCGGCTCCACTAAGCTAATTCTTCGTAGGATCTGAGGTCAAAAGAGTTCACTGCGACGTACATTTGAGGCTAATTTCATTTGTGCCTTGAAGCTTCAACTGAAGTGCACCTATTCTGATTCCCTGGTGGAAGTTTTTCCAGTGAGCGCAGTTTTACAAAACTTCCTATTACATTAACAATGCTCAGTTAAACTACATCTGTTTTTAGTTTCGTCTGAACGGAATTGACTCTGAGTCATCGGGAAACTGCAATCCTCAACATTTTCAGTAGATTCATGTCATTCAAACTTTACGCAATCTGCAGGTATCCAGACAATGTCAAGACGGAACCTCTAAATTTCACGGTGTTTTAAAGTTGTCAAAGAACCAAAAAAGTATTGTAAATATTGTGATTAAAGTTAAGAAAACAATATCCATGTGTATTGCTTCTCGTGGATTTGCTAGTAAGTGCACAGGTTAGTTTATAAAGGCCTCTGGCCCCGGCGTTTGGCGGTCCACCGATTCAGACTGCCACTAATTCTACATTATGGCCTTGCATATCAAACTGTTAATTTCATAGCGAACTACGCTTTTTGAGTTGCAGCATCGTTTTACGGTATCCTTGATAGCTCAGGACATCGATGACCACACATAAAGCCATGTCAGTCGGAAATTATATGGGGGTTTGCCTATATAGATCAAACAATTATCTCTTCAACATTATGAAAAAAACTAACAATTGATCGTCTTCTGTAGCATTTAAGGCGATTACATCGTCGTCTCAACAAAATTATCATCAAACTCATGTTGTTACAAGTTGAAAACCGTATCCAGGCTAAAAACCGTTGAATAATCGTTCAAAGCATCATATGAAAATGCACTTACCGCTAATGGTCAAAGCTATAAGGAAGACAAATCTCTCCATCCTTCCTAAAAGAAAAGAATACATCAAATTCAGAATTTGTTTGTATCAAAAAAAAATGTTTTGTCGTTTAACAAAACAGAACTTAATTATCAGCTGGTCTATAATAACCGATCGAAAAATAAAAGTGTTATGAAATTTTAACATAAATATTGACTAACAATTGCCCCTCTGCCGTCGTCCTGTGAACGCTGTATAATCAAGCTGCTTGGACGTATCGAGTACAAGGGCTGCTACCTGCGTTCTTACAAGACCCAGAGAGTGAGAGGTTAAGTACAACCTACAGTTACGTCAGTGGAAAATTCTTGTTTCTATAACCACGAAGACTTGCACAAAGAAAAACACGGCTGCTTGTAGCAGGTAGAAGACAGGTTGAATTAAGACCTTTCCAAAATAATGCGCCTCGTTGGGAAATATACAAACGCAAATGGTAGACGATGGTCATTTTCTTACCTTGTGAAACTACCAAACCCTTAAAAAGTCCTTGTCGAATTTTGTTGGTTGAGCCAAAATGGCCTTCGAGTTTCTGGTATTCTTATTTGACGTGTCTTATCTGGGAGTCTTATTTAATCAATTGCACATTCCAAAGTCATGACCCGGGCATTCTCTCACTTACCTTCCATGAATATTTCACAGCAAATGACAGAAAAGGTGACGGTCGTAGATAGAGAAAATCCCACTCAAAAGCACTTTTATTAATGAAAAGAGAGGCTGGTGTATTTTGCAATCGCGAAGAATCATTCAAGAACTCTGATTTTCTCTTGCAATTTCGTGTAACTTGTCAACGGGATGTTCATAACCCTGCTCCGCAGGATAACTTGCCAGTCACCCGATCAGCCATTGAGAGGCGACAAATTGTTGACACCACCAGTCAAATTCTATTTGTGAAGTGGCCACCTTTGTTTTGTTCAAACAAGTAAGAAAAACTTTCACAATGAAACAGCATACAAGCAGGACCAAGTAGAGAGAACTGAAACGGACTAAGTTCTTAGAAAACACATTACAGACTGAAAAACCAAGACTCATCGATTTTGGCCACAAACGACGGGTTCTAGCTTTTAATTTTTCATACAGGCTTCAGCAAAATGGTCTTTGAATCTCCTCCCTGTTGTTAAATCCTTTCCAAAAGATAGATACTCGGTTTTTTTTTAAAGCTCTGAGGTTAGGTAACTGCGTTTGTATTTTACTATAAGTGAACTAAGAGACAGTAAATCCAAGTAAAATAATCAGTGATGCTCGTTGACCCTAGACAGGTTGTTTGCTTCCTGAACGGGTAGGTCAAGAATTGGTCAAGTATATACCAAAATTATCTACCAGTGATTAAATCTGGGGAAAAAACAACTGATACTACCATCTTATGGCAATGTTTAGTAACGATTTTCTGTATCCTTTGCGAATTCAACACTTTTACTCAGGGCACATTTGTATTGGCACTCAATTTATTTTTCCTGGCCCATAGATTGCATTCTTATTCGCGCGCTTTGCCCCATGGGTTTTAGTCATGTGAGTTCCCTGTTGTTTAAAGATTCAGCCGGTGAATCAGTGATTGTTGTTTTGATAGTTTTACCAGACACTTTTCAAATCATGGGGAAGCACATTTTCTCTTGAGCTCGTTTTAAAAGTTGTTGTTTGCTTGTAAACTAAATGATAGTGAAATCTTGTAAATAACTTCCTCTCTATACAGAACTAATCTATCCTGTCATCACAAACTTATACCCCGCATATGTTAAGCTAAAACAAAAAACAACATACATTGACTGAAAAAATAATGATATCTGAAACCCCTTGAAATATAACAATGGCATTATAGCTAACTTCAAAGAGACGTCACCTTTCAGAAAATTACTTTGGAGATTGCATGAAATTGGCCTCGTACTTTGCTACACAAGAGGAAAGAAATTTGTCTGTACGTCACAGCAATGGAGAAAAATAGTGATAAAGAAAAGAGGACTTGCCGCAGGTGACATGCAGTTTGATTCAATAATTTAACCTTAAGACTTTGACTAAAGTCAGGAAATTCATAACTAAGCTAAAACAGTGTGTCTGGAATATGATGTCCAAATAGAAAGTGAACAAGCATTGAGGCATAAATACTACTACGAAAATCCCAATTAATTTTTTTCTAGACGTCTTTATTTTTATCTTTTGTTTTTAGGATATATATGTTGCAGTTTTTATTAGATTAGTTTTTAACAAAGAAGATTTCCGTCATTACAGCCATCTGCGTAACAGCGCATTATTATATACAAGGTCGCAGAATTACACTTCCGTTTCTATTCACTTCTAACGATTATAAATTTTTTGAGCGTCCAATTTAATTATTTTCACTTGCTGTAGGTGTATAATATAATTCTGCGAATAGGCATATCTCAGCATGATCTATATCAGCGTGAAATAGTGAACTCGAACGTGAAAGTTTCTTTTTCTAGCAACAGCGAGACTTGATAAGGAACTTCAGGACAGCTGGTCTTTCATTGACGAGGAAATATAAATGATAGTAATAACGATTATTGGCGGGTGTAAATAGCAATAGTAATAGATACCTTCACACAGTAAATGGTTCAAATCCAGGAGTAATAACCGATCGCTTTGGACGATTCTCCCGGGCTGTAATTTTGAGCAGGGCTGTTGACGCAGGACGTGCCTGATGCTTCAATTCAGGTCCTAAGGACTTACAGTTTTAGGGGGTCTAGTTACTTTAATCAGACGCCTTCTTTCCAGCGCTTGGACAGATAGTCTACGTTTTCAGATATTTTTAACTGGAGTGGTCTAGTCAAAATTTAAGGGATCAAAATTTCCTTACGGCCATAGCATAACAATGATAATGTAAAGATAATGATAATAGTGATCATTATAATAATAATGTAACAGTAATATTAATTACAATAACAATGGGAATAATACGGTATGCGTCCGCAGGGACATGCAATAGTTGCAAATTTACTCGAAGATTAAACCGCCGCACTTAGTTTATTAAGTCAGCTAAATAGAAAGTTTTTCCTCTTCAGTTTGTCAACAGTGTCTGGCAAACTGGCAACGGTGTCAACGTTTACTTTCAGTTAAGGTGGTTTCAAACCTTTTTCAGTAACGATACAAAATCAATGAAGAAATTTTTACACTCATTTAATTCAAATTTGATGTTCCTCTTGATCCTCTTCTTTCACTTCCCGACAACTTTTCTTGCCGCCTTCTCGCCTCGATAAGGCGTAATCACTCCTCAATAAGGAAGGTGCCGTTTGTTGGCGCGAAGACGAAGTACTAAAAGCTCTTTGCGGAACAAAAGCTTTAATCTTTGAACAACAGCATCGGGCAAACACCTTCTTAAATCCCTGACGGTAATTCTCACTGAAAACTGCGTAAACCAATGGATTGAAAGCGCAGCTGGCGCGCATGAAAATCTCACAGGCGAAGTGAAGTGACTCTGAAATATCAACTTCCTGAAAGTAAAATATTAAATTGGCAATCTGCAGTGGTAACCAGGATATGATGAAAACTGCAACAACGGTAATAAGCATTTTCACGACACTTCGTCGTGAATTACGTCGTTTAATCAAGTTCTTGGATTCCTCTTGCTCCATCTCTCCAGGTGGCTTTATGGACCACAAATGACGACAAATCACTGAGTACAAGGCAATCATTACGGAGATTGGGAGACAAAACATTATAAAGAATAAAACCAATGCGTAATCCCTGTGCGCCGTGTTCTCGTCAAAGAGTGGGGCCCATTTTTCGTCGCAGGTCAAGCCGCCATTGCTGTCTATAGTAACTTGTAATGCGTACAGCAATGGCGCAGCTACGGCGGCGGAAGTCACCCAGATGACAATTACGATGCAGCGGAAGACACGTTTGTTGATGATACGCCTCAGTGGCATCAAAATGGCGAAGAATCGATCGAAAGCGATAGCAGCTAGAGTGAGGACTGAAACAGGAACCAACATGTATTGACCAAAATTTACCACCTGACAGAAGAATATGCCAAGCCCACGGCGACTCATTGCCCAATCGTATTCGTCAAAAATCATGACAAAAAGTGGAGGAAAAGAAACCAGTGTGTAAAGAATGTCCGCGCACGCCATGTTCACAATTAGGAAGTTGGTCACAGTGCGCATGCGGAGGCTTTGCATGACAACACAGATCACCAACACGTTGCCAAATAACGAACAAATCATAACCAAGGTTGACAAGACTGCCTGGATGATTTGAATCGACACGTTCAAAGGGAGACTTTCTGTCGGTTCACCGCCAGAAGAACTTGGCACCACTACACTTGAGTTATTCATTTTCCTTTTGGAAAAACATTTGAAGTTAAAAATTAAACATTCTAATAATAAAATTGAAAAAAGAGAAGGACTAAGAGATCATTTTCTTATGAGATTTGAACGAAATAGATACGGTATCAATTTCGTTCAAATTTCATAAGAAATTTGAACAAAAAAAAACAAAAAACATTTGAAGTTAAAAATTAAACATTCTGATAATAAAATTGAAAAAAGAGAAGGACTAAGAGATCATTTTCTTATGAAATTTGAACGAAATAGATACGGTATCTATTTCGTTCAAATTTCATAAGAAATTTGAACAAAAAAAAAACAAAAAACATTTGAAGTTAAAAATTAAACATTCTGATAATAAAATTGAAAAAAAAAGAAGGATTAAGAGATCATTTTCTTATGAAATTTGAACGAAATAGATACGGTATCTATTTCGTTCAAATTTCATAAGAAAATTATCTCTTGATCCTTCTCTTCTTCCAACGCTCAGTTTAATTTTTTTTTTCTCGTAATAGTTAACATTAACTCTGACAATTTACAATTTCTTCAAGCAAACTGAAGGAATAAGAAATGTTCTAAGTTAGACTTAACTTAAAAACAATATCTTTTTTCTTCTTTCCTTAAGATTTCCTTGTCCAGTATTGAACAATTTTTTCGACATTTCGCAAATTTCCACTTGATGGCCATTCATCACTGCGAAGTGTTTTAGATCTATTTAAATTGCTATTAGGAAAGATGGGCGTTAATTTTTTGTGATTTGGTTCTATCTTTTCTTCTTAAATATGGGAATAACGATGCCGTAACGACCGCACATCCAAAGTAAATATATTTTGCCCAAAAACCACTTATACTTCACTACATTTTATCGTCTAGTAATGTGTCTAAGGTAACACTCTGAATCATCTTAAACGATTCGCCGTATTTTTTTCTCCTTTCTTTCTTTTCCCTTTTCTTTTTCATTTCAGAAAAATTATTTTCGCACGTGCCTCTATCAGTGCTCACGATGTTTTTGAATAAATCTCGACTTACAAGATTGACTTTCAAATTATTCATTATGTATTTTGTACATGGAAGGTTTTGAAGAAACTCCTACAGGCAGTAGAAAAAGATTCAAATCCCAGGGGATCAAGGCGCAAATACGTAGATCAAAACCACTTTCAATCTGTAATGCATAAAAAATTTTCTGTTCATTTTACTGATTTGCATCTCTTAGGTGTGTCTTTTTGCAAAGTTAAAATTCACATATGACTTTAAAAGAAAGAAAAGTTACCAAAAATCTGAATTGATTTACTTAAGATATATAACCAGAAATGCTCTAAACTAAGTCCTCCAGTTTGCCCAACTGAAATTTGGCTTAAAACGATTAAATATTTATTTTACCGTGGCGCTGAAAGTAATAGCATCTGACTTAATTTAAACCTCACCTGATAATACAACTAAAAATTCATTTATGCTTCATGCGCGCAGCGAAGCCCCATACTTACAAAAAAATGGTAGTAATACCACAAGAATCGTTCCAGTTATCGGAATTTCTTTTCCCGTTTAGTCAGAATTTAGTAGACTGAACTTGTGGCTGATTGTCTCGGTTTCCTTTCGAAAAATAATTATGTTCAGTTTATAGATCCACTGTTTGATATGGTCGTGCAAGCTTCCGCAAAGAGTGTTTATGTTGTCCTAAGTCTGTATGACAGATGCACGACAATGTATAAGTGGATTGGAAGCAAATAATTGATTTCCGTATTCTAGAAAAACAGAGGAAATGACTAAAGATTAACAATTCAGAATCAAATTTCTTTCGGTTTTCTTTTAACTTAAAAATTCCAATTGTCCGTTTGTCAGAAATTGCAGTAGGCGGCCTCTCTACAAAACATCCTTTGTATTTGCAATAGAAGTTTCCCGCTAAGTTCACCTTACTCACCTTGGTGTATTTTCATAACGTTAATTCAAGGATCATACATTTATATAGGCCCAGGGGGATTGCTTAATTCATACTACTTTTATTTTGGAGGGTTGCTGGGTGTAGTTTCCTCAACAAACATGAAAAATAAGGATCATTTTTTTTTAACCGAAAAATAACAGCTGTGTCGTCATGTTAATTTTTAAGTGTGGTTGAATCATTACACTTCTTTAATGAATGAGGCTTCTCACATCTCGCATGAAAGTACACAAAAGATGATTTAATCCCAGCTCCGTGACTGAATCATATTGTAATTCTATTTTGCTTTAATGAGAGCAGTGAAAAATTGCCATGACTGTCTTTGCGAGAAAGAAAGATGGACATGGATGTAAAAGCTAGTCCTTAAGCACATGTTAGCCGTTATTGGAAGATTACATCGTCAAAATTTGAGAAACAATTCACATCATACGTTTTCACATCGCTACCATAAGGATGATAGAAAAGCGTAAAAGAAATGGTTGACAAAGGAAAGCTCGGAAGCCCTTAATTCGTCTATTGTCTTTTAAATCTATGTTAGACAGCATTTCCCTTTTTAAATCAACTTAGTCATACTCTCTTCCACTGATAACGTGAATAAAAAGTTAACAAAATATTGTGTTGGTAGAATTAGAAGCAAATATATCCAGAATCTAGTTTGACACGCAAATTGAGAGTTTCCACTCGTTAGGAATCCCAAAATACTGTTTCCACCTGCTTCGATTTTTTTCGAGAATTCAGTATGCTCTGAATCTTCATCAGATGATGATTAGTGACTTTGGTGTTTTCAAGATAAAAGTAAGATAAATGACCAGAGGAAAGCTTCGTCCCTTAATTTTTTTTTCTGTGATTTTCTAAAGACAATTTTTCAAAAAAAAAATCACTGAAACGATGGAACTTAGCTTAAAGGAAGTTTCTCTTAAACTTGTTTCTGGTAGAGTAAACACCCAAAAAGACTAGGAGATTGTTATCTTGCTTGAATTCGAAGAACAAATGACAAAGAAAACCACCAGATTTCCCAACCAGTTTCCACTTCGGAGTCGGATGTAACTTAATGTTTTTCAAAATACTTGTAATACTTGCCTTCTTGTTATTCTTTATCAAATAAAACTCTCCACGATTTTTCTCCCAGGCAACAAACTTTATCATATGATTTCAGTATCCTTTCAAGTTACTCTTTAGCATAAAACCTCTTAAGCCGGAGGCGCTGTGTATATATAACTACTTATATTATAAAAATAAACATGTTCGTGTCAAAGGGTTTCATTTTCATGTTTGCATTTTCATTTCGAAAATTTGTATATATGGACGGAAATAAGAATTACTAAATTTCATATTCATCGTCAATGGATTTGTGTGTACATGACATTATATCGACAAATATCTCTTAAAGAGAATTTCATCTTATTGATTTTATATGTTTTCCTTTTTTATCAATGTCAGCGCACGGTTACCTAACCGAAATGTTTTCGCCTTTATCAAATGGTGTCTATAGCAGAGTGCCAGGATATATTGGATTTATTTCCACTATCATATATTCGGCAACAAGAGATTTAGATAAACGGAATGAAACTGACCCAATGTAAACTTTTTTTTTTCATCTCGTACAAGTTATTGATGAAAAAGTGACGTTAAAAACAAACGCACTTCGTCACCCTCACCTTACTCACCCCCCCCCCCCCACATGAAAAACAGCTTGTTCCAAAGTCTTTCCAAATATAGTAATAAAACATCGACAAGAAGGAGCCTAAAAAGCTTTAATATGTATTCGTGGCCACATCGAGGAAAAAAAAGTATTAATTATTTTCTATTCCCGTCTAAAATGGTTTAAACATTTCATTTACTAGACGCCTCAATAGAAATACGATTTGCATGTTGTTGCAAACTCGACTTATCTTGGCTTGTTCCTCTTATATACAGATAAAACAACATTTTTCGATACTATTGTTCCCAACCATAATATTCCGTGTGACCGCTATTTTTTAAGGATTTTCGAATTTCAATATTTGGGCTAAAGGTTTTGGTTTACGGTTTTTTTTTTTTAAAAAGCATCGACACTGCCGTAAGCAAACTGTTTATTCTCACCAGTCTGTGAAAGTTTCATGTAGAACGTGCTCAGAGAATCCGGTTGCAGGCGAAGAAAAGTCAGCTTGATAAATAGTGATGAATAGTAATTTGGACTGAGCTTCAAATGACATTACAGAGACAAAGGGAACTATTCTGACTGGGTCGGTCTTTTATGTCATTTGTAACTCTCCTGTTCAAAACTAATCATGATAGATGTCAAATCTCAAAAGAGTGACCTAGAGATCGTTGCTATGTTTATCTTGCAAATCCTTAAGGATCCATGTACTTCTCCTTTGAAACAACCATGAAAGACATTCCCTGTCACTCATTAATCTAAGTCCTTCACGAGGAGTTCCTGACAAGTCGTGATTGGCCAATTTGGTAAACTTTCAATTGAGATGCATAGGCAAGTTTTCTAATCTAAGCAATTATAGCTGATTAAAATGGGATTCAGCCGTCATCCTGACTATGGAAAGAAATAACTATTATGTTCTTGTCAATAAAGGAGCCACGGTAGGAAGAAGCAAAAGTAAATATCTCGAAAGCAAGTTCTACCAAAATAGCATCAAAACAATTTCGCTTCCTGAGTTGATACTGCCTCAGTAAGGTTGACCAGTTACCATGGTAATAATTACGGAGTACTATCGCTTTGAAATAAAGCTCTTTTGCCGAGAAGCAGCCAAGCAGGCAATATGCGTTCGTTAAGTTTTCCATTTTTTGTAATATCTAGACTGCTTTTTCTTTTCACCAAGATCTTGTTATCAGCACGGAAACGAAAAATTTTTAGCTCCTGTTTTCATGTAGAATTATTGTTTGAGGTTTAATTGGTAGAAAGCAAAGTAACTCCACTAAGCCCTTCAAATGACCACGTCATCAGCATATCAGGTTTTTTTAAGACCTTAATATTTCAATTTGTGTTGGATGGGATATTTCCATGGTTCTTCTCAGATTTGATTGTAGAGAAACATTTGCAATCATTATGATAGACAGATAACAATCGAATTGACGACAGGATATCTTTTTAAGGGCCAGAGTATAGTTCTCTTTAAGTTTTTTTTATTGCTCTCAATCTAATCTTCCCGACTTCTCCCTTGAGACACGTTAGATAAATATCATACAACAGGATGTAGGTATTATATAAGTCCAAATCAGTTCCCATATTTGCTTATACTCGTGTCGTCCTGAAAACTTTAATCTAAACACTGTGCCGCAAAGGTTTAACATGAGAAAGCTTTCGGCAGTTGAAGTGACATGTAGAGTTTTTTCAAAGTGTAGACAATTGTTTGCTGTCTGAAAACTGAGTTTCGTTCTAAAAATATTTCTGAATAAGTATTACGACGCAAGGAGTACGTTTCACGCACATATCGTGGCTGGTCGTACTTTCTAACCCCACCTTTAACCAGGATATCAATGCAAATACCACGGTAGCATTTTAATATCTTAAAAAGAAATATTTCAGGCCATTTAAGAGAGATTAGGCAAATGCATGTTTCAGTTGAGCAGTCTTAAGACGTGTTTAGGACCCTTATGTCGCTTTTCCTCGAGATGAAGCCTAATAGATCCCAATCACGATCATCGCAATGATACAAAAATGAGGTACCTGGTATCAAGCGCATGTTTCAAAAAACAGAAAATTGAAATCCTCTTAGAATCGCACTAAGAAATCTCCAGACAATTTTGGTTGTATTAATGAAACTTTTACCCATTGACACCATTTAAAAAGGGTTAAACATGTATGCTGTACGTGATTCTAGGATTTCTGGAAAACAAAAAGATACTACATCATTATTGTAGCTTCGGTACCACTTGTAGTTTAAACGCAATCGAGAAAAGATAACGCTATTTCTAATTCTTACCGTGATAATTATGGCTTAGTAAGGTAAGAATCGAAGTTTACTTCAGTCGTGATAGAGTTTCCGCTGGCTGCAGAAGTCTCACCGCGATGTTTGGCTTTAGAGGGGCTCTTTTATTGTTAGTCTCCTTTCTAGCAAAAGGTTTTTTTTTTCAGTTTTTTATCGACGCCTTGGATCGCTTTTTGATCTATGCAAAACCAGTAGATTAATTTCGGCATTTTAAATAAAAGCTTTTCCAATGACAGTACAACCGATAAAGTGGTCAGTTTTATTGTATATTGTGTATTGAAAGCTCTTAATTCGACGTATGTGCCTGACAAAAGGCCAAAATCTCGCCGTGGCCTACTTGGCTGTTTCCAAATTTATACTTGCCGAGAAAGATTTATTTGCATGCTAAGATAAAATCTGATAAGACTGTAAATTGCTACTCGGTTTTAAACATCAATATCATTCCTAGTTCATTAAACGAAAGTTAGCAAACTGAAATAGCACTTGTCGATATTGTTTCCGTGATTTGAACGTTTTTTGGGGAATAATAAAAGACTTTTGTGTACTTGGTGTGACATAGATCACAAAACCACCGAAATCCATTAGGAGCCAAACAAGAGGAGGAAAATTGCATTAATGAAATCCATTTAAAACCATTTACACCATGTCAAATAGTAAATTCTAAAATGATTTTATTGAAATTTAAGCTGGTTTCATCTACTAAAGTCCCCGACTTATAAGTCAGTTTAAAGATTTGCGGATTTTTTTTCTTAAAAGATTTCCTCTGCCACTAAGTTCAAGTTAAAGGTGCTTCTGGATAAAAATTGATTCAAAGCTGTTAAGATAAGGCTATACCAATGCTAAACGGCGAGAAATTTGATTATTGAGAGATTTCTTTAATGTTTACGGTTTTTATCTTGTCGTTAAAACTAAAAGTTCTGTCATGATCTTTTATGGGGAGAATTCCATTCTCCTCTGCCTCAGATCAATATAGAGTGCAATGGCTTTCAGCCTAAACTCATTTGTTTTAGCATAAATCTCAAAACATTATCCTAAATGGGGAAACGCGACTATCTCAGACAAATACGGATAAAAGGTCGCTCAAGTTCTCAAGTTTTTTCTGAAATGTTGGCGTTGAAGTTGAAGTTTTCGAGACTCGTCTTTACTTTCTGGCTACGTTATAAATTTATTTTGAGTGCCTGGTTATTTCGAAAATACCTAACAATAAGCGTGAAATCATAGTGAAAGCACGCAACGATATTTTCGGCGATATAAGATATAAAATAAACCACTTTACTCTTCTTGTTTGTGGTCCAAGATACGATAAGTTGAAAAGAAGGAGCGAAACATTCAGCTCGTGTAATAATAATTCAGCCGCGTGAAAAACGGAGATTGATTTAATTACTTCCCAAAACTCGTTTTTTTTTCCGTTCATGATGCAGCATTCGGCTGGCTTGACTCTAATTTTCTCATGATGTTCGCTGCGCGCACATCATGAACTGATATGTAATTCCTAAAACAGATATAATTCATAAAGGACTTTACCTGGACGATTGATCGCTTGTTTAGCATAAAAACCCTCTCATTCAAAACCTGCAAGCTGATGGATGGCAGGATATGGACGCTTTAAATGAAAGTAGACTAAATTCAAGGTTCAAGTAATAGGTTAGCCAAAATACTGGCTTAGGCTTTAATTATTCTAAATTTTGACGTGTTTTCAGAGTAATAATGCGATTCTCTTGGTCAGCGGTTTTCCCATATAGAGTAAAGCTCGCTCTAGCGTCAAGAGGAGCAAGTAACCAGCAATGCGAATAATGTGAAAACTACAAAGCGGCTCTTAGCAAACTCTAAATAGTGCAAGCTGTAATTCAATAACATCCCATTTCAATTTAAGTTTCTGCATTTGAATAAACTACGGCTATTTATGAAATCTTAATGTCTTCAAGATAGTATAAAGAAAGAGCTTCCTGGCTCTAGTTAATCAAAGGAGTGAAAGCAGCTGCAATGAGCAACGTATGGGCTTTATCACGGAAAATCGCATCTTATTTTTATTGAAGTTTCTGTTTTTAAATAAACTCAGTCAGTCCGTGAAATCTTAATGTCCTAAAAGTATAAAGAAATAGCTTCGCGGCTCGAGTTTTTCAAAGAAATAGAAGCAGCTGAAATGAGCAATGTTTGGGCTTTATCATGAAAAATCGCGCAAAAAAACCGATCTATCTCGCAAAATTAAGGTAATTCTGGGAATGAATTGAAAATCTTGGTTTCTTTTTTAGACTCGATACATTTCAGAATACTTTTCTATAGAAAAACTAAAAACGCTAATTTTGCATTTTTTCGCTGGAGAGGCAGAGTGGGTCATCTTCTAGCACAATTTAACGAGTAAACTTCAACTGATTTTTAAATTGAATAAGAGGCATATCTGCGATGAAATACCCGCACGGTGACGTGACGTGACGTTTCTTCGCTTCCTATAAGCCCTCTGACGCTTAAAAGGAGTTCATTAGTCAAATGTTCTCCGTTTGGCACATTCGAACATGTAAATCAAAACGATTGATTGAAACACTTAAACAATATTATCAGTTTCACTCCATGATGCTTTCAAACTTGCCGTTGAACTGGAGCTGATCGGTGGATGGAAACCCGAAATGAAAGTAAGAAAGGCTTACTCCTGAAGCTTATGGTTTCAGGACGAAAATGCATCATTGATCAGAGCAGAGTTTGGAAAACAATATCATTTAGTAACAAAAATCGAAGGTTTCGTTTTCTTACTTTCACTTCCTTAAGATCCAAACAAACCCATCTTTTTGGCGTAGTGGGACTGAAAATGTCATCTTAATGTAGAATTCCGGTAGTCGTTGCCCGATGAATGCTAACTCAATCATAAATCATAAACAAAGCCGGATTTGTGTACCAACCCTTCCGTCAAAATCGCTCAATTAACCCGGCAGTAAAAAAACCAAATATCTCATTTCATTTTGCATAAGTAAGAAGATTAAACGAATAACCTACCTAAATTGTAGTAGGGATGGCGCACACTAAACAATGATAACAAGACAGCTAACGGATTCATAAACTGCATAGATTTGCTGTACGTGGCCCTGTCATATTAAAATCAACTCGACAGCTGCAAGAAGAAATGAATAAAAAAGCTCTAATAGCTTGCGTCATTGCTAACTGTTTGTTATTCCATCGACACCTGAACTAGCAAACCAACATTTTTAATAAGCAGACTGACTTAAACAGCGTTAATTGCAGATAGAGTAGCTGCTTGCCTTGTGAAAAGAAAGAAATGACAACTAATGAGTTTTGACGAGACTAACCCTCAAACGCCCTGAAAAAAAAATGGTACTGGAGAAAATGATTATCAGCCGGTTTGTAAGTCTGCACTTACTTTAGAAAAACAAGAGAAAGCTTAGTATTTTTGGATGTATGTCATTTTTTAAGGAAGCCAGTCACGTTGCCAGGCCACAATGCTCAATTTTGTTTCAGCTAAAGAATAAAAACGAACTTAATTCACAATTTGCGCCTTATTTCTATAATTGCTGCCATTATTATTATAATTTTTACTATTTTTTGAGACTTTCAGTAATTTTCAAATGTTAAATTCTTGATCTCTGATTCAAAAACATTTATCTCTCACTATGAAATTGGCCTTCACTGCGCATGCCCAATGAATCAAAATACTATTATACGTTTCGCTTAAGCAGTTGTGGTCATAAGTTTTTTTCAACACTTTGAACAAGACTGAACTCGCCTGCATTTGAACACATTTTTAATTTCAGATGTTCTTGGCATGTATTTAATAAAATGAACCTGTCTTGCATGTGATGTTTTGTTCGTTAAACTATCAACACCGACACCCGTCTTTCCTTCAAAGGGATCAATACGTGCAATCCAAAACTATGACGTCATGTCTTCAGATAGAGCCCTTGTATGAGATCAAAGATGGCGATTCTAGAGCCAACATGACTGACTTGAAAAAACATAAAACGAGCTTACTGATGTATTCCTGAAAGGTGAGTTGAACTTACGATATATGGTGTCCTTAAAGCGAGTAAACATTATGGTATTTTTACAGGGGGTACAACCACCCTTGCTGTGAAGGTCATTTTGTGAAGTTCTGATTTTCATCCTTTGGCTCATTGATATCAATTTTCATCAGTGATTTAACTTTCCATTGACCAACCATCTTGTGGTTTCTTTACCCACACATCCGTAATAAACAATTGTAGCTGCTCTGTTCAATTCTTAAGCTCTATTTCTTACCGTACGTAACTTTAAGGTACCCGACGTGATTTCCTGTGGTTGCATTGTTTATTGAGGACTCAACCTGCACTTTTAACATACATGTATATTCATTTATTTTACTCCGCACAAGAAGTCCTTACAGCCTTACAAAAAGATACTAATCTTCCTCTATTTTGACTGTTCAAATGCTAACTCTTGGAGCCTCGTTAAAGAAACATAGTAGCGAATATTTCGAGAATTCAACCCTCTTCAACTATCTTTTTCTTCAACACAAAATTTGCTATATTCTCACGCGAGTATTCCTATTCAACTCGTTCTTCGAAAAATTTTTCTTCAAGACAGACATATTTAACAAACTGGAAAATTTTAAAACTATCATATAATGCGCCAACAACCAGCCCAATTAATAAACTGCGCGCTATAACCAAAACACATTGTTCCCAAATATGGAGTCCCAAAAGCTTCAATACTGCATGCCCCCCCAAACTGAACTCGGAGGGGAGTAAAGCTGTGACTGAACTTCATTTTAATAGCCAGATCCTTTACCATAACGAGATAAAAGTGTTTAAAGATCTAAAAAGATGATATGGGTACTCTAAGGTAAGCGTTTGGCAAGCTTTTTTCAAGGTATTACCACAATGACGGGTAAGTTAATCCGGTCGAATGACAAACTTGTAAGTTCCTATGCCGTTTGGAATCGACTCAACAGAGACATAGCAAAGTAATCAGGCTAATTAGTCTCCACAAGCTGTACTGTATCAACGCATAGTTTTGCGCGTTAATAGTAAATCTGTCAGAGTTACGATCAGGACATATCCGGGATAGTCATCGCATGCGCGCAACGTTTGTAAGATTTATTAGCCTGTATTCTCTTGAGATTTCTTTAAAAAAGCAAACTAATTCAATTTTATTTACCTTAATGGTGTTTTCTTTCTTTCTCCCTTTCTCTCATTTCTAATTCATTAAGGTGGAGGGATTTGAAGAAGGCACTCTCCAGCCATGCACTTGAGAGGTGTATGTCTCTTGTTACTGGCAGGTGTCATTGTCACATGGGCTGGACTGACACGTGAGTTACTTTTTGTGTTATTCGTGGTCAGTTGTAAGGTCAAAGCTTACGCTCATTGCAGTAAATGCTGAAGGGTTTAAAACAAAAAAAAACCTTCCTCAAAACTAAGAGGTCAATAGATTTCTTAATTCGTGTGGAATGATATTGAAAATGAAATTCTTGGCTAAAACCAAACATTTTTTTGTGGTGTTTGAAAATGAAAATTTATAGCCCCGTAAACTAGTTTATAGTATAGCAATTATCCTTGGCACAGTTTACCGCAAGGTCGACTTGACCTTTAACTTAACTACCCAATGTCAATTTTTTTACTGCTAGAAATGGGAAATACAACTTTAAAAAGGCACGACTGCCTTGGTCGTTGATGATGCAAACAGTAGTCACAGCGATAGAACATGGCTCACATCGATCTTGTGAAATCAACTGCACTCGTGGGTTACAGGCTTTTCTCTCTTTTCCTTGCTCCAAAAATTCTTATTTGAATTTCTTTTTTTTTTTTTCCAGAGGATTATAATCAGGTCTATTACCTTGGTTTTGATCGGTACAATGGAGAACGCTTGTACGATGATTCATCGCACAACAACAACGCGACTCTCATGAATGTTCAGTTGGATAAAGAAGCAGGTAGCTGTGGCAAATGTGCTAAGATCTGCTGTGGTGGACAGATTATAATAGACGGATCAAAGTTCGTTGGTGAGTTATAATATATCTGAAAAAGATGGTTATGATATCTATTTCTATTTACTACGCATGGGCAAGGCTCTTTCCTCTGGCTTTCTTTCATGATTCCTTTCGCCACGCAAGAACACAATGTCAAAACAACTCATTGAAATTTTGGGCCGAAGGGGGAGGAGGGGGTGAGAGATATAGCATACTAAGGCTTACAAGTCATTCGAGATGGATTAGCCTTACTCCAATCTGCTTTGTGACACACTTCCCGGCTATTTTCCGACAGTGTGGGCCACTCGCCTCATGTGACTGACCGACCAACCATGCATTTGGCTAACTGACAGGCCAGCTGATTGTCTGTCTGTCTTTCTGTCTTTCTGTCTCTCTGACTGAATTGCTGGCCGGCTGGTGTTCAAGCTGGCTGACCGACTTACTGACTGACTCGATGAAAGACTCACTGACTTACTCACTGACTGACTCATTGACTGACTGACTGCCTGCCTGTTTGACTGGCTGAAAGACAGAGGGAGGAACGAAATAGTGAACTCACCCAGCTCACTCACGAAAATAAGCTAGTCTTATTTATGTCAATTTCCAAACTTTGAGTCACCTGCATACGCATGCACATAACATATCACCATTTTATTAAAGATTGTGACTCCCCAATATAGGAATTCCTTACATTGAAGTTACTATTGCAATGATGGTACAATTAAAGGAAACATCCGGAACAATAGATCTTTTCGAGACTATTGGAGGACCGCCCAGATCTAATCACGAGGAACGTAAGTAACTCTCTGCTTGTAATTCTAAAATGCTACAAATTTTGGACGTTACATATGACTTACTTATTTCCTGTTAATTCAGCCCAATATGATCTACAAGTTGAAAATGCCAGGGTACGCTGGTTTCACCGAAATGAAAATGGTTCCACCGTGTTCAGTATCATAACAGACGGTCCTGTGTTATCCAATGGAAAATGGTATCATTTAGCCGCAATGTATGACGGCCTTCGGGGCATTGCTAAGATTTATATCGATGGAAAACTTTCAAAACAGGAAACTGCTGACCCCGGTGTATTCCTGTCGCGAGACTGGTCTAAATATGCGGGTAAGTGGAGGTTAAGTGGCCCGATATTACTTTACACGTACAACAAAAAAGGATTGAGTCAAATTCATGATCACGCAATTATTTAGCGTCTATGACTTACAAAGCTATTCATTACGTAATTTGCCTCCCTTTTTTAATCTAACCTCGCATACAGGGATCGGCTTATATGGCGGAAAAGGTCGTTTAGAGGGCTACGTAGACGAGTTTTACATTTACAACAGGACTCTAGCGGAACCTGAGCTAAAAACGCTTATTAAAAAGTGCCAAGGGCCCCAAAGCACCATGGTGTTACATCTGAGCTTTGACAGGAAAACCGGTGATACGTTTCTGGATGAATCAGGACTTATGAACCACGCAAAGGTTGGTGGGCCGCCTCTGCAACCAGGCCAACCAAAACCTGCTCCTCCTCCACGTAAGTGTAATTAATGCATGTCAGATTCTGAGATAACATTATTTTTATAAAATATAAATTGATCTATTGAGAATATAATTGATCTGCAAGCCTTCCAAGGAGACTTTTAATTCGAAAGTTTTTGGTTCTCTGTTGTCCATTAGCTGCAAAAGGAAGCTGTGGAAACGGAGTACAACTAAATGCTGGACAAGCGGATGTCAAACTGGACGGGAAAACGTTCCGGAACAAACCAATTGACAGTGTAACCATAGCAATGTGGTTAAATGCTACTTCGGTTAAGGGAAAACATTACTTGTTTGACACGATTGGTGGCCATTCAGCGCACAAACACGACCAGTATCTTCTGATGATGGAGAACGGGGCCATCGGCTGGAGTCATAACGACCAAAATGATAAACAACTCTTCAAAGTTGTCACTGATCCTATAGTAACGGAGAGTAAGTTTACGGTCTATTTTTTTATCACAATATATGGTAACTTTTCTCTTACTTTTATACTGTTGATCAGCATATGGTGAAAAATTTCTCACCCTGAGGAAAATTTAGACTAGGGGTTATTATTAAGATAAAGCTTGCCAAGATCTCTTACCACTGAATGTAATAGTTGTGCAACGCTACAAATGTTGGATATAAAATGTTAATCCAAGCAATTTTCTCCTGCACTCCATGCTTTTTAGAGAGTTGGGCCGTCCTCCTGTTTCCCCACTCGACCCAATTCTCTCATTCCACATCAACTCGCCCCTATCTTATCAATTGCCACTTAGACACTGCAAGCTTTTTCCACACTCCATTTTACAGGGGCGTAGCCAGGATTTTTCAAAAGGTGGGGGACGGTCACATCGTGTCAAACAGAGGGTTCTCACCAGTTCTTGCCACCTAAATATTGTAGGTCGTTTGCTTTAAAAAAGGCTTACAAAGAGGAGGTCACGGGCACCCAAGGACTTCCCCCCTGTTGCTACGTACTTGTTTTATTTTTATTTTTATCACCTTAGAACAATGGATGCATATCGCAGTAACATACAATGAGCAGAGTGGCCAGGCTAAGGTGTTTATTAACGGCAACCTCAACAAGCAAGGGCCTGCATCAGGGAGATTGTCAGAAGACTGGGACAGCTATGCAGCATTTGGCAAACATGAAGGAACTGTCACAGATGTCGACACTCTGGACGAAATATACATGTACAACAGGGAGTTGACTCCGTTTGAAGTGAAAACGCTCTATGATAACTGCAATTTTGGGTTAGCCAAAACACGTGAGTTACTTTCAACAAAAGCTGTAATTTCCTCTCTCTCAAATTGTTTACACAATATATTTTTCTTCCACGTTGATCATCAGCTGATATGGATGAACAATAACTCAGCGATTCTTTCATCGACCATTAAGATTCATAAAAGCATTTATTTTTAGGAAAAGGCTAATGTATAGTTTTTCTCAAAGCAATGAGTTTGGATTGAACGAAAGAACGAAAATGAATGCAATGTATTTTTTGAATGTGGGCTTCTTGTAACCCACGTCTTTTTGTTTTGCCCTATATCGATTGTTTTAATACTACGTCAAATTTTTCATTTCAGCGAGCACTGGTCAAGTGTTCTACTTTGGATTTGACCGCGTGTCAGGCAGTGATGTGTTTGATGACTCCGGTAGCCTGAATGACGGTAAATTAACTAGTCTTGCTACCGTGACAAAGACCAGTGGAACTTGCGGGAATGGACTTCAACTACGTGGAGGTAAATTTATGTCGGCGGTTAAGATAAGTTAACGATGGCAAACTGAAGCATCATGCAGATCCTGTTAAGGACAACCATCGACCCTCTGACTTATTAGCTAATTTACCATGACGAATAAATGATTGACTGACTGACTGACCGACCATCTGACTGATAGACGGACGAACGCACGGACGGAAGGACTGACTGACTAGTTGACTGACCGACTGACTGATTGTCTTACTGACGGGGTGACTGATTTACTGTTTTATAAACTGAGTTTATAATGTGAATTGACCACCGAAAAGAGTTTCTAAAGCTGACGTTTCGAATGTTAGTCACTCGTCTTATTGGCTGGGTCGCTGACTGACTGATTGACTGAAATACCCAATGACGAACTAGAGGTTTGTTATCTGAATGGAATGGAAAAACTACAGTTGAAGATAGCACAAGTTACTCATTTCATCATCTTCCCATAGGCAATATTTTGATTGACGGACAACGAATACAGAGAAAACCGCTGTTCAGTGTGACAGTGGCGCTATGGCTCAAGTTGAATACCAACCGCGGTCAACAGTCTGTCTTCAGCACCTGCAATCCCGATAACCCGTGGAACACACATCAGCAGTATTCGCTAACGATCAAAGACGGAAGAGTCAGATGGTTTCACCGTAATGAAAAATCCCAGGTGAGCTTTTATAAAACATAGGTCTGCTTAGCGTGCGCGCAGGAAGTGCAACCTAACGAATGGCTTAGCTCTTGTGAGTAGTCTAACGTGTGTGCTTTTTACTCGACAGTTTTTGTATTAGAATTCACTTATTTAGTTTTTTTGCAACCAATCACAAGCACGCTTATATTAATCGTCACTTGATTTCGTTTAGTCGGTCAGAAAAAGAACACGCTTGACAGAAGAAAATTTACCACAGAGAGGGAAGGAAAGATTAAATTTCCGTCACTTTCTTTCTTTGATTCTTTAGACTGTTTTCAGCGCCGAGACAAACTCTCCACTTGTACCAGCTGGAACATGGACTCATATCAGCTGCACTTACACCGCAACTGGCGGGAAATCTGAGATATATGTGAATGGGGTGTTAAAAAAACAAGAGCTCACTGGCAGTGGAATTCTTTCTCAGGTAACATCCCTTCTTGAATGTACGAGGAAAAGTTCGGTAAAAAAAAATTCCAAAAAAATTATTGACCCCGCAATGGCTGTGTATTTCTGCAAAACTTTTTCCAAGGATATGATTGATCAAAATTGAATCTCCCCGTCGATTTAGAACGGCAGAAAGCTAGAGTGATCTTAAATTGTATCAGATTGGGAGAAATTTTTAATAGAGAGTTGAAAGTAATCCATGATCGCACTGGTTTTGCCTCTGCTGCATGATTGGTCCTAAAACAAGCCCCCGGAACCAATCAAATGTAAAAACCAACTGCTCTTTGGTCACTTACGTTTCCCAACGCATTAGGCGTGTTTTGCTTCGAGTCCTCATTAGCTCCTGGTGATATTTTTTTCTTCGCTACGACTGGTAGTTGTGGTTACCTTGTTTAGTTTTACGACACGAAGTAGAAGCGCTCTGAGTTAGGAAAAGCCAGAAATAATACATCTATATCCACTGTTCTTCTAATCCTTTGCGCCCATTGTTCCTCTGGTCCTCTGTACCCACTGTTCCTCTGGTCCTCTGTACCCTCTGTTCCTCTGGTCCTCTGTGTCCACTGTTCCTCTGGTCCTCTGTACCCTCTGTTCCTCTGGTCCTCTGTGTCCACTGTTCCTCTGGTCCTCTGTACCCACTGTTCCTCTGGTCCTCTGTACCCACTGTTCCTCTGGTCCTCTGTACCCACTGCTCCTCTGGTCCTCTGTGCCCACCGTTGCTCTGGTCCTCTGTATCCACAGTTCCTCTGGTCCTCTGTGCCCACTGTCGCTATGGTCCTCTGTATCCACAGTTCCTCTAGTCCTCTGTGCTCACTGTTGCTCTGGTCCTCAGTACCCACTGTTCTTCTGGTCCTCTGTACCCACTGCTCCTCTGGTCCTCTGTGCCCATTGTTCCTCTGGTCCTCTATGCCCACTGTTCCACTGGTCCTCTGTATCCACTGTTCCTCTGGTCCTCTGTAACCACTGCTCCTCTGGTCCTCTGTGCCCGCTGTTGCTCTGGTCTTCTCTATCCACAGTTCCTCTGGTCCTCTGCTCCCACTGTTGCTCTGGTCCTCTGTATTTACAGTTCATCTGGCCCTCTGTGCCCACTGTTGCTCTGGTCCTCTGTACCCACTGTTCCTCTGGTCCTCTGTATCCACTGTTCCAGTGGTCCTGTGTGCCCACTGTTCCTCTGGTCCTCTGTACCCACTGCTCCTCTGGTCCTCTGTACCCACTGCTCCTCTGGTCCTCTGTGCCCACTGTTCCTCTGGTCCTCTGTGCCCACTGTTCCGCTGGTCCTCTGTACCCACTGTTCCACTGGTCCTTTGTGCCTACTATTCCATTGGCCCTCTGTGCCCACTGTTCCCTGGGTCCTCTGTACCCACTGTTCCACTGGTCCTTTGTGCCCATTGTTTCTCTGGTCCTCTGTATTCACTCTTCTTATCCTCTGTGTTCACTGTTCCTCTGGTCCTATGTCCTAACTGTTCCTCTGGTCCCCAGTGCCCGCTATTCTTCTGCTCTTTTGCGTCCATTGTTCCTCTGATCTTCTGTGCCCACTTTTCCTCTGGTCCTCTGTGCCCGCTGTTCCTCTTTAATCTTTAAACCTTTATTACACCTTAATTATTTTCTATTGTAGATCCCGGTGTATGAAAGACTACCCAAAACTTTAATTAGACAGACTGTGGGGGGCTAAATGTATTTATCTTTTCTTGTGTTGACCAGGATTGGAATGGAAAGACTAGCATCGGAAAAGAGTACGAAAAAGGGGCTGATGGAAAATGGATTGAGCAAAACAATCTGAACGGCATCATCGACGAGTTCTATTTATTTGAGCGCGACTTGAAACAAAATGAAATAACACTTCTTGCTCAGACCTGCAATTACCACAGAATAGTACTACATTATGGCTTTGATTTGTTTGCGGGTAAAACAGTGTATGACCAGTCTGGGCTTGCAAACAATGGCATGGCTATAAATGGTACAGCTGTCTCCAACAATGGAACGTGCGGGAAGGCTGTGAATATGACCATGGGACAGATTAAAATTCCCGGTGATACTTTCAGAGAAAAACCCCAAAAAGCCATAACCATATCAGTGTGGATCAGTCTACAAACAAACAGGTTTGATATAAGTAACTACGGGTAGTTATGACTTAATCAGTTTCTATCTTCAGGGACGTCGGAAAAAAGAACTTAATCGATGAGGGGGGGGGGTGCATACAGTTAAGCTCTCTTTGTTAAAAAATGGCTGTATATTTAAAAACTCTCTCCCACTTTGTCTCTTTTGGATGGAGGCGGATTATTTTTCCCCCTAAAATAGCGAGAGGTGTTACCGCAAAGAATTCGATGTAATTTTCTACTTCTCTCGATAACCAAAGTGAGACAGCTGCGCTAAAATGCTTGTCTCCTGTAATGATTTTAGACGCAATTAATTCACTGAGATTCTTTTTGCATTTTACATAGGAAAGAGCACGAAATATTTAATACAATCGGAAGCCATTCCGATCACAAGCATGACCAATACCACTTCGCAGTGCAGGATGGGAAGGTAATTTGGTATCATCACCAAGAAAACGACAAAGAAGTGTTCAATGTCGTCACCCTTCCCTCCATTCCTGCGCGCAACTGGACACACGTGGCAGTGACGTATGACTCCACAGCCATGCTGGCGAAAGTTTATGTTAACGGAGTCATGGTGAAACAAAAATCTGCGAGCGGTGACCTGTCTCAAGATTGGGGCCATTTTGCCGGTATCGGAAGACATTTTTATACAGGATCTTATTTAACAGGACTAGTTGATGAATTTGTCATTTATAATTACGCTCTTAGTGACGTGGAAATGAAGTATCTTGCACAAGGGCGGTGCTCCAAAAAATAAGAGCTCTGTCAACCTACTTACGTATTAAATATATTTTTTTAATTTAAAAATAAGGTATATCAAGACAGTTTCTTTATGAAGTCCGTTTCTCTAAAATATTCTTTTTATATCTGCTGCGGTATTTAGGTAAATTTCACTCCCCAGTGTGTCATGTAAGAGTTACTAAACTAAAAATGAGCTTATGTGGGTGAAAGAAGTGGTGTGCATTTGATGATAATTTGATTTTAAGGGCGCTTTGTTAAAAAGTTCAAGTTTAGGAGTAGATAATTGCTTGTGAAATCTCGGATGCATAGCTTGTTATGAACAAACAAGAAAACAAAAGTAGCTCAAATATCTGTTTACTATCATTTTCTGTCAATTTATTTAAACTAAGACGTTTTAAGTAAGAACGAACAAAGGCCCCAGAGCCCAACGATTGTGCTTCCTTCGCGTTTGTGATCGTTTTCAATTTTCCCTTTAACACCATAGTCTTTGACAGCTTTATTAAGTTGAACTTAGTAATGACCAACTTTAATCAGAACAATCAGTTCGACATGTGAACAACATAATGATGGTATCTGGAACAGGTGTCGGCTGCAATGAGGGGAAAGAGGAGAATTGTGGTCACTCCTCACGATGGACCGAAATAGGTATTCTTCGCCTCTCAATTGGAGGGTGAATCATTTTCAAATGATCGAACAACTGTGCATCAAATTCCAGCTTAGGAAGAATCAATATCACATTTATTGCAAAGCAAGTTATGTACAGTATAGCTTTATTCATAAACTCTGTCATGTGTGAACAAAATATATTGCAGCAAATAAATAGAAATAGATATTAAACTCACTTCAGTACTGCAGTTATCCACGCCGCAGTGCTGCCTGTACAATAAACTAGAAGCTTTGCTAATTTATCACGACTAATCCCCTACGTATTTCGAGACAGCCAGGCGTAAACACAAGAGGAGATGACGAAAATATTGGCGCCTGTCCAAACCCCTATAGTCTCTTTGTGTAACTATTTACAAATGTTTAATTTGACAAGTTGCATTAAGAAAGCCGATGGAATAATCTGTCATCCAAGAAAGTTCACAGAAAGCGCCCCATTACAAAGAAAGCCCACAATTTCTACACGCCTCACAAAGTTAACAAAAGCATAAGTTAGTTCTGAGAGACGGTTCACCTCATCTAAGCTACTTATTCCAAAAAAAAAACGTTTGTAGGACAAGTTAAGAACAAAGTCGGATGACAGTCGCACAGAACGATAAAAGTAACCTAACTTTAAAATGAAAACGAAATGACAGCAATAATCTTCAAAAGAGGTTTATAAATACACGAGCAGAAAAGCTGTGACCGTGAAGAGAAAGGAGAAAGAAAAGTTAGAATTTTGAGAGAGAGCGTCAGCTAAATTAAAGCCTTTATCCACTGAAGTCGTAAAAACCAAAACCAGCGTATTTACAATGGCCAACCAGAACAAAGTAACGTGTAAGAACTCCAGGAGCCTGAAGCGAACTGAAAGTAGACACATATAACGCCCTCGTCCTTGAGAAAATCATGGCTGGGTTTACTCTTGCATACGATTGGTGGAAAGAGTGCTTGGAGTTTTCTAACGCAATCAAGGAGAGTGGGAAAGCTAACCCAATGGTAACACCGATTAGCTTTGATGGTCAAGAGTGATTCCTTTTCTTAAGAGTATCATAACTTTGAAAGCATGTAAAGGACTAAGATCTCTATAAATGCTACACTTTGTAACAAACTGCGATAATCATTTGCGGTGGTGTTTTCTGTGGGACAATTGTCTGTAGAACGAGGGATCCAAATCAGCGGCCACGTCGTTTGGGAGCTGAGAGATGTGTACAGTTCGTGTCCTATGCTTTTGAACCTCATTTAAAGGAACCCACTCATCTGGTAATCTGTTAAGGAGAGATTTAAAAACAAAGCCTTGAACATTTCTTTCTTGGAGTCACGACGTTAAACGTTGAAGAGCCTCTCTGACGCGCTATTTCTGTTTCATTATTTGCTTCTTTTTTCCCACAATTTTCCAAATATAAATTGAGCAACTATATTCTTTTCCTTTTTAAGTTTATCCATATTTTCCAGGGCCCAAAAACTTAGATTAAGTCATTTCATCAATGGTAAGTTAAATATAAGACCACCTGAAGAAAGCTGTTTTCTAGATGAAGGAATAATGATATTACACGTGTTAACATTCATCAAGGATAAAATTTGTGAAACTCCTGATCAATACCATATTTTTTTGACATTTAATCAGGGTTTTAAAACATCTTTGCTACTAATACATATTAACTTAAAATGACCTTGAAGGTCTGATTTTGGTCTTGCTACCTCATAAAAAGGCTTTCATTATTATCATAAAACTATACAGGGTACAACAAACAAGTGTCTAAATCACTTGCTAAGAAAACAATGATATGTAGCTTGGAAGAGACCAGTTCAGCTGTTATCCCCAGAATATCATACCACCTCCATGCCTTTAGTGCATGTGACACAGATTTAACAACAATTTGATGCTTTCTAAAAGGTGCTTTTTAAGATGTGGCACTCCTCACAACTTTTACAACATAATATCTATGAAAGAAATTATTGGAAACTTTCCACAGAAATTTCATGGAGATGATCTTTTTTTTTAAGCTTGAGTGCCACTGCCAAATTAAAACAGAGCACTTGTCAATTACCTCGCTCAAATAATAACCAGGCCTATTTCTGAAAATTGTTCAACTTTATGATTCTTAATATCAATAGTTAATTGTAGAAATTTTGAGTAGTATATAAGGTGTAAACTCAGTTAAGAACATATTATCATTATTACCACTGCTAGTAACTTACATATCTTCTGGAAGCCATCTTAGAAGTACATCTTCCTCCCCAGACTTCTCTTCTGTTCTTCTTCCAAGAACCTATGGTATATTATTATTACGTCAGCACAACTAATTAGGTTGTTTGCCATCACGTCATTAGTTCTCCAATGTAAGGGTAAAATTAAAATTTCCTTATTGTCTCTCTTTCCAGGCTCTAGCAATTTTAACAACAATGCACAAGAATGCCATCACATGATTAGAAATCTGCTTTCCCAATGTTCTAAGCAAAACCCCTTTAGGTCCATTCTTCTGCACACATATCACTCCAAGAATATCTGGGAATCCAACATACTTTGTAAACAAAAATTTTGCTCAGAAAAGCTCAGACATACCAGATCCTTTTTATCTCTTTGTTCGAGAGGGATCTTTACACAATCATTTAGTAAAGTAAAATCTTATTTGAGGGATTTCAGTTATGTGATCCTTCAGTATACAGAAACACATATCTGAGAGAAATTTCTGAGGTAAATTTGCTACCTAGAAGTATGTAAAAAATATTCAAATCTTTTATTTGTCAGAGACCACTTGATCCATTCAGATGATTCCTTATCCATTTACGATGGGAGCTTAACCCTTTACACCCTATCATCATGATGTATTTTCTCCCTATTGTTCTCTATACATTTCCTAAGGTGCTAACAAGGACACTTTGTTTAAGAATTGAGAACTTCTTTAGTTGGTGATCATTTCCTTTATTCTCATGACCTTTATGTGTGATTCAGGGTGCTATTGTGAGGAGAAATTAGACCTTTAAACTTCACAACAAGAGGGGTCTGTGCATGGGCCACCTAGTATCTTTCTCGCCTATCTTAGATCTTTAAAAGAACAACATGACATCTATCAAGGGCTATGACTACAGAAGATCAAGATCCATTTAGAGCAACCTCTAAAACTTTGTAGCTAATTTAAATGCTTTCCCTGACTGTTTGTAGCTACCAATGATAATTTTATGCTTTTAGATGGAGACAAGCAGTGACGATAAAGTTTCTATCAAAGGAAACAACATAGATACTTGAGTAAGGGCAACTACACATTTGAAAGCTTCTCCCACTGGTGTTGTATATATTGATGTATAAATTTAACCTTGGTTCTCCATTCATTTTCCTATATTTCAATCATTTCATCCTTTGAGAACACAGATTAGCTTTCCCCCAAAACAACAACCACAACAACAACATCAAAACTTAAAACCAACATGCTTTCTTCAACTCAATCCTCTTCCATGACAGGGATAAAATACTCACCTTACTTTGAAAAACAATATTTGCACCATCAATGCCAAGTCTGTAGCATGACACAGGCATCACATGTGGTAGCTTCTCTTTTATGCTGCTTACTGCATGCTGGTCAATGAAATCTTCCTTAACTGTCAAAGTTGCAAAATAATCAAGAGCTAAGTGTTTAAAAATTGAAATGTGTCAGATCTTATTGCCACTTTAATTGCTAAATGACTTCTATGAAGTACTGCACAATTTATTCCAACAAATATCTAAAACCACAAACTGCAGAAGTTAGATTCTGTAAAATTTCCTGAAACCTCTGATATATTCCTGTTCAATGTGTTTGTCCAAACAAATGTCAGTTTATAAATTATGATTCCCTCCACCAAAATTCTCACACTGTAATTAATATACAATGGTTCTGAAAACCCAAAAGGTCATTCCAGTTGAATCCTCAACTGATTGAATTGCTGCATCTAAGAAGCAGAAAATCAAATTTCATATTTAATCTGGTACCTATTAAGGCTTATTCTGTGAAAGAGTGGTGGTTCATACAATAGAGACCTTTGAAATCTTGAAGAGGTGTTTCCTATATTTCATATTTAGTAGACTGACATCTCGCTGACGGTTACATCAAAAATTTGAAGAGACTAACTTGATGATGACATTCTCTTAAGAAACCTACGTGAGGTCAAGCTTTCCTTTAAAAGCAAACAAAAAATTTCGCGTTTCTGACACTTAACTTTAGTTTATTAATTAAATACTTTCAAATCCTCGTTGAACTTGCTTAACCAATTTCAAAAGACTGAGAGACGATCAGAAAAAGACAAGTTTTCCTATGTCGTGTCAAGTAAGAGTTAAAACTCTTTTATAAAGATGACTTAAGAAATCAAACTAACCTTGAGGCGGTGGTTTCGCCTGCCGAAGGTTCTTCATTTTCTTCTTTTTCTTTTTCATTACTTTCTTGGGCGAGGAATCGTTATCTGACTTCTGTCTTTTTGTGGGCTTAGCGTCATTAAAATGCGAGGGCACATGCCTGGCAAGACCCTCTCTCGAAGAAAATGTCATGGAGCATCCACTTATCATACACTTAAATGGCTTAGCACCAGTATGAACGTTTACATGCTTCGCAAGCCACGTGTGTGATAAACTCGGTTTGTCAAACACTTTGCAGCCTTCCCACAAACAGACGAAGACGTCTTGATGTTTAGACATTGGCTCAACATGAGCAGTCTTGACGTGTTCCGATAATTCAATAGCGTTTTTTAAAATAACGTGGCAAGAAATCCACTTGCATTCTACACCACATTGATCCTTATTTACAGAAGATTTAGATCCTTCTCTCCTTGTCCTATCATCAGATGAAAAAATGAAAACCACTTTAGCAACGGTTCGGCATTCTGGTTAACTACCGTGCGTGAGTGCTAAAATAGCGTGACAGCTAAGCGGAGGGTTTAAACTGGTACTCTGATTGAACGAATGCTGAAAACAAAATCATTAGATTCGCATACTTACTCCTTCAAGTCCACTCCTGTAGATGGCCCTTTGAAATTGCCTAATTCTTTAATTTTGGGACGTATCAGAGTAGTGTTAGCTTCGTTAGATAAACTTGTCTCAGACGAAATGAACGCAGGAGAACCTTCGCGATTAGGGGATTGTTTTGAATCGTTTACTGAACAGCTTTCATTCCCTATTATCTCAAGTTCTGGTGTACTACAAAAGCTGTTAGGCGTTCCATCTCTCGGCGATCCAAGGCCGATCGTGGTCTGACAAATTGGCGACTCCAATCTATCTTCGACGTCCGCCATGTTTTGCTAAGGGAATCACGTGGAATTCAAAGTGTTTTGTATAATAGCAACCAATCAGAGGGCTCAACGGTAATTAATGACAAGAAAGCAAAAACAGCAAGGAATTTTACTAAAAAAAATTCAGATAGTTTTAAGTTTGGCTGTTAATGTGTGTCTTATTTTGATAACATAAATTCTTTTAGCTTGGAAGTTATATCAAGTCTTCGTGAAGTAAACGACCTCTAACGAACCCTCCGACAGAACAGTGAAAATGTAATCGCCAAAATTTGGAAAAAATATGCTTAATTTACCAGCTCTGTTGAAAAGAGAAATATCATTAAGGAGTCAAAATGATAAGATTCTAACAAAATAATCGGAAAGAGTAGTAAATATAAAATGCGAAATGGCGCGCTGATTTCCATATTAGGACATATGAAGCAGCCGCGCCTGGTCTGGACACGTGTCGGCGTTGACGGTCCTAAATAGCCGCCATCTTGGTTAAGCAGGGCGAAGCTTTGTTGATATATCGAGCAACTTCAGCTAAAACTCGCTCTTTACATTCAGAGCAAGGATTTCTAAGCTAAAGGCGCCATAGGATACCAGGCAAAGTATGCGCTATTTCACTGTTAGGTTACGTTTGCAACTTTCTCGTAGGGATTTGCCGTAAGCAGTCGCGTCACCTTTTGAATACAAATTGACAAGCACGCGGTCGTCTTGTTATGAAAATTGCTGCATTATGTTGTCCTTAAGTTGATTTTGTTTCAGAAATATCCCCTGTGCCTTCTAAGTTGTAGAACAAAAGTTTTAATCATATTTTAGGAAAGGCAATCTCCAATTTGTTTTCAAACTCTTTGAAGGTTATATCTTGTTTTGTTTGTGTTTTGTATTAACGATGAAAACTCCCCAGACGTTTTGCTGCTTTTACAATGCTTACTTTGCATTTCTCTGAAGACTGAAATGAATTAGTCACCTTTTAACGAAAGGTTGTTCAGTGATGACAAAACGAAGAGGCTTAGGCGTCCTTACGTTATGAGATGAGCTTATCTTTCATACTAAAAGCTGACTTCTTCAAAAAACACGATTCTCAAATAAACATATACTATGTACTTAAGGTGTCACTGAATCAGGTACTTCTTATTTGTTTGGTTTGATTAATTAGTTGTATGCTGAGGACTGTTTCTCTCAACAAAAGTTTGCGTACCTATACTATATGCATGCCCTGGCATTACTTGAAACAATGACTTGGCCTAACTAAATGCATTTTTGCGCTTCCGTTATGCAGCATTCCAGTACGCCAGATTTGCGTGGCGCAGGCAGCAGTGAGTTGTACGCAGAAACCTTGCGACAGGTTAGCAGACACCGTCTTGGCAGCATTTGCAGCACTAGTCTGCGATTCCATTTAATCTGGTGAGCGCACTTTGACTGTAAGCATTGAATTTGAGAGATAGCAAAGCGCTATTTTGTAGATCACAGTCAAACCTATTTTAAAAGAAATGTCGCAAGAATCAGAAAACAAAAATGACACCAACAATAACACTACTGGAAGGAGTGAGGAAGGAAGTGGAAATATCTGTCGTGATTATCAGCGTGGTGTGTGCTCTCGGGGATCAAAGTGTAAATTTAATCACCCAGATGGTATGGGAACAGAGGTTACAAACAGCCCAATGATATGCAGAGACTTTCAAAATGGAAAATGCAGCCGTTCAACCTGCAAATATTTACACCTTTCCAATAATGAAGAGAAGATATTTCTTCGCACTGGTCAAATACCTCCAAGGCGAGATGGTCCCTTCCCATTTAGAGCAAGAGGAGAACAAACCCGTGCAGGACCAAATGATCCTGTCTGCAAAGATTTTCTGAACAACAAGTGCACAAGAGGGCAAGGCTGTCGTTATCGTCATGTTTTTGAAGAGGAAGGAGAATTTATGGGCCATGGTTATAACGGTCATCCCAGTAAACGTCGCCGTGATTCTTATGAAGGACACAGCTACTACTACCTCATGGATGAAAATGAATCACTGCGTCGTCGAATATCTGATCTCCAAAGGCAGGTGGCTGACCTGAAGGCTACCAACGAGGTTCTTTTGGAACAAAATGCAAAGTATCGCAATCAGATAGGGGAGCGCAGTAGCTATAATGGTAGTGGAGGTAGCAGCAGTTCAAGGCCAGGTGAATATTCATCAACGTATGGTTCAAACCAGTCTTACAGCACTTCTTATCCACCAAGGGAGACCTACTCTTCAAAGGATGCATACAGCAGTTATGCCCCTCCAAAAGATCCATACTCTACAACCAGTCAAAGTGGTTCATCTTACAGTGGATCAGGAAATTACACTTCAAACTCTGCCTATGGTGCTGGTTATACTAAGTTTGATTAGAGGGGCGAATGCTGTCTTTTTTTTTTTTTTTATCTATTTCTTGGAACTTAACATGCCCTAAGCCACAAGTAATCAACAACATGAGTTTTAAGCACACTCAGTTTTGCATCTGATCAGCAGTTCATGTCTTAGTTGGTCGGGTGTCTACGTGTGACAATTTTGATCATTTTAATTTTGTTCCTTGAGAAAACACATGCATTTAGTTGATGTATGACAGTCACAAGAACTGGACTGTATCTAGATAAAACTGGGCAGTTTTTTATGGCCCAGGATAATAAGACTTTTGTTACAATACTTAGCACTCACTTTTTTTTAAACACAATTGTTGTAGTTGTCTGAGTTGACATAGCAGGCCTGTTTATTCTGTGTGTATTATTATCAGCAACTAGTTATCATTGGATAGGTCTTTCCACGTAAAGTGATGGCTCATTAGTGACAAGAACAAGTAGTGGTCTTGGAGCCACAAATAAAGTTTCATGGAAAGTCTATTGAAATTATTTCAGACAATATGGACAATGAAGGATTAAATGAGTATGCTTATCTAAATGATTGATCCTTTCTCCTTAACCTTTGACTTTTTTAGTGATGTTAGATTTAATATTTGACATCCCAAATGTGAATTTAATGCAAAAACACGATTTTTTGGTATAGGATGTTTGGTTAACTCCCTTTAGTGATTAACTTATAACAAGTGATTAGCATGTAACTTCTCCCTATACACTAACGAACAGGTGATCAAGAATACTCAAATTTGTCACGTAGAAGTCATTTTCAGGATCTGACACCAAACTCTTGGAACTAATTTTTCAAGGAAGTATGTAGTGACTAGAGGGAAGAATTTAAGGATGGAAATATTGGTGATGGAAGTGGAGACACTACTAGTGAGGTAGTGTGGCATTACCCTCCAAGTTTTTATGAATGAATGATATTTGGTGTTAAAAATTATCTGAAGGATTCCTGTCTTTTTAGTTAATTTTTTATTCTTTAGCGTAAAATGTTACTTACACACTTGTTAATTTATGGGAGTGTGAGACTCCATCAGTCATTGTGTCTTTTTGTCTATTCAGCTAGTAAACCTTTTGTTGATTGTTACCCATAGCTCACTAGTCAATGGTGGATGGGTAGTTGAAGTTTAAACCCCAACTGAACAGCTTGTTTGTTTGTTTTTTCAGACTTTGAAAAGAAATGTTGTCTGGGTAGTTGAAACTTTTTCTTTAATGTGACCAAAATCATGATTAATCAAATGTACTTTGATCATGGTTTCATTTCTTTGTAGGGGGTTTATTGTCTAAAAATGGTTTCATTACATACATGCAGTTGCCATGTTTGAGAAGGGTGAATTTACTTTTTACTCAGCTGGGCCTTGATGCTCAAAGGCCAATTAGTGCTGACCCAATGTTAAATTTTAACCTGGGTTTCTTTAGTCATATATTCAAAAGCCTTTTTGAGATAATATTCTGTATCCTTTTTAGAGCATCCAATAATTATATTCTAGACAACAAGAATTCGACTGAATTTTCTTATAAGCTTTCAAATCTGAAATCAGATTTCACACCAACCCTGGGTTATCTAAAACCCAGCTTTGAACAACCTGGCCCTGGTTTACACAAGCTGAACGGAATCTCAGACTGTTGTGTGACCAAGTGCTCAGATCATTTCAGTCCTCACAGTTTTTTTTTTGTTGTTTTTATCTTAAACTCGAGCATGCACTTTATAATTACCATTCTCCCCTTCCTGCAGTAAAAGGTGTACATCCTTGTCAGGACTATTTCTAATGACATGAGCAACAAAGAGTCTATTAGGTATTTTCAGAAGACAGGGAGTCTGTCTAGATGATCTTATATCCCTATAATTGATTTAAATTCGACGTAGGATAGACTGGAATCTTGCCAAAAAATGATCTTAAACGCAAGAACCAAAGGCTTGTCTTACTAATATAAGTAGTTCAAGAGCCGGATGGGTCTCGACATGTGCACGTTCTATGTCGATCTTTGCACTTCGTTCAAACGGAAGTAATGAGAGAAAATTTTAGAAACCTTTTCTAGTTCGATTTATTTGGTTGTATTTATGGAGATATTAAGTTGAGTGTTTCTCTTTTAAATCTGGAAAGCCTTAAGATGCGCCCAGAGCGCTGGGGACGACGGAAATATGTCTGGAATGCTTTCGTAATGTGCAGAACCGTAATTTGATAACTGCTTCAGCTCTGATACAGCGCGTTGGTGATCGTAGACGCACGCATCAATCTTTTGCCGGACTATGACGCAAGCCCAAATTGCCAAGTTGAAGATTTGCTGTTATTGAAATCAGCTCTGACGGAAGTAGTACAGAAACTTTCTTTCCGCAAAATAATTTAAAAACGATAGCCCGTTACCCAGCTTACGACTTCCGCTCATGCATTCCATATAAGGGACTTGAAGTGGAGGCAAGCGCCTGGTGATGTGACTTCGCACTTGCGTCCAGTTTTATTTGGATTACCTGGTGTGTTGTAATTTCTTGAAGGTGGAATACGAGATCACTGAAGAACAGAATACACTTTGGATAACCAGGTTAGTACTGATTGCCATTTTTGAGTGCGCGAACTGCATCATGTTTGAAAGTTGATCGATGCTATCGGCGACTAACTAACTTCTCACTGCATCTTTGTCGATTAAGTTTCGTTATTTTCTTTCATTTAAAGTTGTATCCTTTGGCAAACATTGTACTCGTTTCGAAAGTCATCTGATAGCATTCATTACTCTGAAAAACCTTATCGCGACGAAATTCGGCAATCGCAATGCTGACACGAACGTCGAACAAAGTCAACTGCTGACACCCGACTAGCTAGGTAAAATTAATTTCCTCCTAATTAATTTTGAGTACTTCATGAGCGTCATAACTAGCAATCGTTATTTTGATTATGAGTGCTTACCAGATAGTCATCAAAACTCGGGAGGTTCTGGTTTCACGCTAGGTTTTGCTCTCTAAAGTCACAGGACATAAATTTCTTGATCTCGGCGCCGGGTTATTCGAGGTCGAAGACCATCGATTTAGCTGTCGTAAACAAGTTTCCACCCGGAAGTGAAAGAGGGAAAGATAGGTTGCACGTTTGTATACAGCTTCAACGAATGCTGTAGAGAAAAGTAATATCCGAAATATTCGTCAGTACCTTAACAGGGATTCAAAACTACATATTGTCGGTTCAGGAGCGCTATTTCTGGCTGTTATTTGAAAGGAAAAGCGCATTGGTAACCTTTCAAGTCTCTAATAGTTTTATTGTCAGCCAAAATCGCAATAACGAACTCGAATGTGAAAATATCGAGAGAGAGAGAGATTATAAGCGTAATGACGTTTTCCTCGACTATTATGATTAAATCAGCCTGGTAACTTCTTGTACACTTCACTGCCTAAAATCTGTTACTCCACCCCTAGTAAAAAAGATATATTTCATTAGTGTGAAATTAAATTTTTGTTACTCACAATATTATTCATATGCCAAAAACAATCTTAAATTGTGTAAATCAAAATTGATCACTTGCCAGCAGTAATATTATCAGATCCTATATTGTATTTATGAATCTTCTCTTTCCTAATTATTTACCCTTCTTAATAGGCAATGCATTCTCAAGATCTTGGGAATGATGAAGCCCTCGTGAATGGTAAGTGTATTGACACATGTAGAAAATTAATTCGAAAGTCTTGAAGCATTTTGGAGTGGTAAACAGTCATATTCGTAGATAATTTGGACTGATAAATTTTAGTAGCTGAGTGAATGTTGGGTTGTATAAACACAGTGACATTCTGATGAATGAAATGAACTGCTTTTGATAATTAAATGACGCATCAGAGAGCTATTCAATTGAGTAATTTAACACCAAAGCCAAAGTAATGAGCAATAGCCAATCAAACTAATGAAAATTATCAAAAGGAGCCAATAAAAGTAAAAACAAGCATTCAACTCCTTTAAGAATGGGAAAATCATGAGTGACCAAGTGGTAATTGGTTTTCCTTTTGCATCCGATCAATGAAAATGGTGGTGAGAATTTTCTGCACTAGTCACAGAATGAAATAAAGTAATCCAATGCAGTCATGTCATTTTCGACACATGGTCAAGATTACCTTTTCAGTCAAGGAATATGCCCCATAGAACAAATATTTTTGAGCTCTTGCCATGCACTGCTTTGAGTTTTTGCATGTGGCTACCTTCGTAATAAAATTTGGGAGCAAATTATAATTTTTCTTTGAAGTAATTTTTGCATTTTTTGGGGGACACTAAAGAGATGGCTATTCAACCTGTCTATGTATGTATGATAATGTATGTATGTAATGTATGTGTTTGTATTGAAAAAATTTTGGATTAAATGTTGTTGATGTTTGTTATAGATCCTTTGATTGTCAAGGCAATTATCCCACCAAGAGTTCAGAACGATGTGAGTGTAAAGCAAAATTTTAGAAAAAGAGAGATTTTTTCTTTTATAATGATCCACTGTATGGTAAATTGGAAATTTTGTGGAGAAATTCTCATTTCTTTGAAAATATAATTCAAAGTCTTTGTAGATTTAAATTTTTACTGTTCAGTATGAAAATTTATATATTTATATTGTCTTGAATTCTTAAATGAATGTTGCATGATACATTTTGTTTATGTTCAGTCTATAAATGGATAATAAAATTCTCTAATTTCATAAAATATCTGTTGACATTCAATACACAAATGCAATGAGAATAAATGGAAGATCCTAAGTGGATGTCTTTGAATCTTGCAGGTAAAAGAGGAAATAGTGATTGTTTTTAATAAGCGCTTACCTTCAAAATCAAGAAGTCCATTTTCTGTTGATTTTGTGGGGACGGCTGGTGCAGTTCAAGTATCTGCCAAGCAGTTGAACAGCTCAACCCTGATTTTGGAGACACCAGGTGGGTACCAAGTCATAGGTGGCTAAAGTTTTTAAGAGACATGCACTTGGTGTATTTCCAACAGAATAAAGAGTGCAAATCCTGTGTCTGCTTTACCTCCCAGTGGTTTGGCCACGGATGGGGCAGAGAGGGGGGGACATTCTGAGGTTTACCAAAGTCAATTTTTCCACCCTTAAAATTAGATATCAGAAGAACTCACTTCAAGTCTTGCCTTAATATTTGTGTGATCCAGAACTCAAGATGTGAAGGTCTATGTAGTTGATGACTTTTTAATGGGCTTGAGTTTTATTTTAGGAGTTGGACTTTTTTGTTTTCAGACAAATTATTCCAATCTGGTAACTAAAACAATAATACATATTTGCCATTTGCCATTTGGCATCTATAAAAGTAAATTCTGGTCCATTATGGCTGGTATAGACCATCCAAAATAATAACTCCATCTCTTATTTATATATTTATGTTAGCCTCGCAAAAAAACTGCCATGCTGTTAAACATTGTAACATGGACTTATATCTTTTATTTCTTAAGAATATCCTGTGGCCAGTGTTGTGACAGCCTATGTCTATCATGGAATAAATCGTAGATTGTTAGGCCAACACACATTTGAATTTCTATCAAGAAGTGACACCTTCTACAGACTGCTGTACACAGAACTGGATCCTGTCAAGTTCATGTGTGAATCACTGAGTCTGTCCTCAACTGATGTCCTAAGTCTGGATTGTGCTTTGGCAGACACATTTACCTCAAATGCTCCTGAAGGATTCAATTTGCTAGGTATCCACAAGAATACTGAAGGTGAGAGTTTTATTGCATGGAGGTGAAAGATTATCTTTAGTTTGAGCCAAAATTGTTTGACATTCACTTATTCAGCTTTCCTGCTCAATTTACATCATTTACTAGTGATTTTTATAAGTTATTTCTTACTAAGTATTATATCTTTTGTCAGCTGGAGAATCAACTGCTGAGCATCCGACTCTTCTGCACTTTGCAGCACAATTTGGATTAAGCAGGCTCATTGCCACCCTTTTGCATTATCCTGGAGCTCAAGAGGCTTGTGCTATAAAGAATTATCATGGGAAATGGCCATACAACATTGCAGAGGATCATGGTTTTAAACAATTGGCAGACAGTCTGCGTACTTTCCGTGTAAGTGTTAGCTCAGCTTGATTCAAAGTGTAAATTAAATAGTGTTGTAAATTATTTACACATTAGCCACTAATTGTGCAATAAAAAAATAAAAAGAAAATGGTGATTTTATTAAGTGTAGATGTGATCCTATTTTTTTAATTTAAATTATAGTATAGTGTTTCTAATAAATCAAGAAATTGAAGATGGAAAATTTTGAAGATGTTCTATGTTTTTTACAAGCATGGACAAATAAAAGAATTTGAGTCTTGTTAATTTAGAACTCTAGCCATAGATCTTGGGATTTCATTGTCCATTTACAATGAGCCAGGCAGAACTTATTGGTAAGGAAGATCTTATAGCTAAATAGGGGATCAGAAATGTTGATAGGATTGTTTGAAAGTGTACTTGACAACCATTAGCTCAAAATACCCCTCTCTTTTAAAGAGTTATCTCTAGTTAATAACAATGGTAATGATAGTGATGGTACTTTTGCAAAGACCGTAATGATGATGATGATGATGATGATGATAATAATAATAATAATAATAATAATAGGAATAAATTTAATTAATTACTGTAGTTATCATCTTTATCATTATTACTATTGATGTTTATATATATTTATTGATTATTTACATCAAGGACCAAGGAGATCCAAATCAGATCTATGCTGACATGGGTGATGAAGATGGTTACTATGTCAAAATGCAAAAGGATGATGGTTCATACAACTATGTACCCATGGGAAGAGAGGGCCATGGACTGTATATGTATATGAAAGGAAGGAAGTACATAAATTTGGACAAACAAGAGGATGAGGCTGGTTATTATGTGAAGATGCGCAACAGTGATGGATCTTATAATTATGTTCCTGTAAAGGGAGAGGAAAGCCACAGTGGTAAGTTATATGAAGATGTCAATGAGAAAGGGAAGTACAAGGTCACTCAACGATACACGGAATCTGAAGAGAATGAAGAAGAGGATGCAACATATGCAAATTATCAAGCTGAAGTTGGCGCTGATGAGGAACTTTATGAAGCAATGGAGGGCAATCCTGAAGGTGAAGAAACACAAGATGATTTTTACATGGACATGGAAAGAGAACGAGGAGAAGAGGATCCCTCAGAATTTTACACATCAATGGAGTCTGTGGGTAAGTTGATATAAGTACTATAAAGATGGGAAAAGAGAGCATTTTAGGAGCTTGGTGATTTAGTGAATGATTATGTTTTTCATTTAGTGAAACAACCTTACTTATAGTATTCATTAAGCAAAAAAAGAAATTCTAAGTGCTCCTAACAGCTGTTGAACCATGACCTTCTAATATGTAACTACATGTGGTCTCTGGATGCTAAAGAAGACTTGAAGATTCAGCATTTAATATTGGTCAGTGTTACTTTTGTGCAGTGAATAGGTTATATATTTCTGTTAATAATATATAGTATTGCAAACATTCACCAATTAATATTGTCTCCTGTACACATTTTGCCTTTGAACCTACAAATTTGTAAATGTTCCTGAACACTTCATCTATTGTATATTTAATGGTAAGAAGTATATAAATTAAATTATATAGCAAACTGAAAAATTAAAAAGAACAACCTTCTAGTGTGTCTTAAATTCTGTTAGGGGGTATATTTTTCAAAAGGGCCTTGCTAGCTGAGAAATGTTCTGTAACGTCAAGACATTTATCATCTCTTTACTAACATAGTGGAACAACCAGAGGTTCCTCCTGGTTATGTTACACCGAAGTCAAATTTACCAGTTCATCCAGATCCAGGATTTTACCGCTCTGCCAGCATGGCTGCAGCTATTAGGGCTAAAGAAATTGAACACGAGAGGAAGACTCAGACCTTGCCACCAATAAGAGGTTTGTACTATAATAATTATTTACCACATAGCAAAAATAAATTTCCAAATCCATGCATGTAAAATTTAAGACTGTTAGCCATAGGCTAAGCATTTCTTTACCGATATATTTGAGACTTCCTGCCCAAAGTATCTACTATATTCGAATTCCTCACACTGAATAAAATTGCCAATTTAACCCTTCAATCAGATGTTGAACCAATAGCCTTTTGAGTAGTGGAAGAGGAAAAAATATCAATAACTTTAAGATAATTAGCAGTCTGAATTATTTAAAACCAAATTCTTAGAGCTTAAGATCATATGATAATATGATGATATTGTATGGTAGACATTGAACAAAATTCATAGTGGGATCTTGGGAGTGAAAGGGTTAAGAGATGGATAGTGTTTTGCAGTACTGATGAATACTTTCAATATTTACCATTATCATGATTACTAGCCCTGATACTGACTCTCTCTGGCACTCCAGCACAAGTTGCAAAGTTGTTAGACTAAGGCTGCAGCTAGTTAATAGATAATTACTGAGGCAGTCAGCATTATGAGATATATTGCAGCCAGCTAAGGGCATAGCCCGAAGGTGGCTGCAATATATCTCATAACTCCAACTTCTGCAGTAATTATACATTGTAATTACTGACCCCTTGTAAAATCCTGTTGTGCTCCCTCTGCATTATATTTGCGATTTCAGGTGCTTCCTTGTCGTTTGTTGGTATGCAAACATTGAAATTAGTATGAATTCCCTATTGGAGGTAGAAATTGCATAACATTTTTTTTCATCTTTATGTGTGGTAAGAGAATATAAATGTGCATTGTCAACACTTAAGGGACAGCAAGTGAAATCTTGCAGGGAACATTTCCTAAGAAAGTTGAAAAGAATGTGGAGGGAAAGGAGGAAGAGTTGTTTGAGAATCATGTTAAAAAGAATTAAGAAAAAGTCATTTTATTGGGCATGTACTAAAAACCAGAAACAGCAAAACCAAACAACTGAAACAAAACTAGTGAAACAGGAGAAATGACCGAACAAAATGACCAAAACAATTAGAAAATTAAAAAAGAAGGAGTCAATAATAATGAAATGAATGTCCAGAGGTGTCAGGTTTCAGCCATCTTATTCATGTGGTTTTGATTATGGTCTACTCCTGATCTATCTTACAGGGAAACTCAGTTATCTCTTGATTGCCATTAACTTGGCATGAGGCCTCAAGGAAACCTTAATTTAAAAAATAATTAATTAAAAAATCATTGACATAGAAGTTGTCAATGAATACCTTTATCTGTTTTCCTCTCCTTTTCATATATGCTTTGGTGTTTGATATGGCTAGCATTCCATCTTGGAAACTCCATATAAGTGTCAACTTATAGTTTCAACTTCTCATGTGGTGGAAAAAAAATTAAGTATTGTGAGACAGCCCCAAGTTTTAAAAGCCTTAAATGCAAGAGAATGTCTGATGTAAATTCTACATTTTCCATGACATTTCATCCTCCACTTGTTTCGATCATTGTAGTGGTTCTGTTTTGGTTGTTATGCTTGTTTCATTTGTTTTGTTTTGGTCATTTCGTTTCACTGTTTCTGGTCTCAATACATGCCATTTTACTGGCCCCAGCTTAAATTAATAAGCCTGAAAAAGGAACTGGCAAATCAATTTCCAAGTGCCAGCTCTAAAGAAAAATACTACTGTAAGAATTGCAGTTGTTTTATTTTTTGATCTTAGGCAAGATGTCACAAGAAGATCTCTTACGAAGAACATTAAAACAAAGCGGAGTTTATTCAAGTGAAGCAATTGAAGACATGGTGAGCCGTATGCATGTGAGCAGCTCATATTCTGCGGTAAGGAGGAACAACTATTGAAAAGAAATTGTGCCTGGTCCACTGGATCCTTATCATAGATACTACAATTTAGCCACAGCTTAATTAGCGATATTGATCAGTTACTCATGTCATGTCGTAGCTTAATAAGATGCTGAATATGAACAGCAAAAAACAATTATGTTGTTTAATTTAGTGAAAAGATTTATGTTTATTACAGGCACCAATTCTAAGGACAGGTTCAACAAGTTCAAGGAGCTCTATCTCAAGTGAGTAAAGTTTGTGTGGAACATTACATGTAGCTCAGTGAAAAATTGCTAAATTTGTCATTGATAAGAGACAGTGGTTACAAATTATAATAAAGAATCGTTATCATACTAAGAACTTTTGTTAACAAATGTAGTCGAATATAGTGGAAGAAATTACAGGTCAGAGTCTTAGTGCTTTGAGATTGGCACAGTTGTATTGATTTCTTGGATTGCTGGCATAAATTTTCCAATTATGAAGAATAAGAATAGTTGCTTGCATTAGCTAGGTGATTACAGAGATGTGTGTGCTCTGAGTGGTGGAAAGGTACATGTAGGTTGCATATGCTATTGTAATCACTTTATGCAATTTGATTAAAATACTGTGAAGCAGTAATTTTCAAAATGACAGCCACACAAGTTGATTTTGACTCAATCTGATAAATAGTGTCAGCAATAATATACCTAAAAACAGTAATCTTCACAGTCTTGGTCTCTCTCTAAAAGTTTGAAACCTTGACAACCCTTATAATTAAAGTAAAATGTTTGTAGATCCCTTTGGGTAGAGAAGGCTTTTTACATTGCTAATGCTGTAAGCTCTTGCAGCTGTATATATATATATATATATGAATACACATATAGATAAACTTGACTTTTTCTTTGACACTTTTTTTTCTTCCAGCTATCAGCAGTACTGGTAGTGGCAGTAGCAGCAGTAGTGGGATAAGCTCAGGAAATGAGGTATTTGAAAATAGCTGAAACCTAGTTTCAGGTTTCTTCAAATTATCCTGTAAAGGGGAGCACTTGATACTCTGGGGCAGTTGTGGTTATTCATTGTGGTGAAGTTCAACATTAATACACTGTTTACTTGTTTTTCCCACTATTTGTTGACTTCACATCAATCCTGACTGTGATGATACATTGATATAGGCAACGTTTACATATTCAAGCTGGCAGTGTCCCATGTTGTGGGTGTTCTCTGAAATGGGGGAAGATTGCATATGAAAAGTCAGCCTGGAATTCTATGTGGGAAAGTAATTTTATTTTTAAACAATTTATTAATTGCACATGACCACTGTGTTTAACTTACAGTTTATACACCATCAAGAGGACCCTAAAGATGTATGTCTTTTACAAGAAGAGGAGTAAGTATTTAAATTGAGTGAATTTAGCCAATGGAGGAATAAAAACATGTTGATGTTAAAATTACAGGGTATAGTTAATTTGTGTAGTGAAGTGTAACTCATGATAAATATTTGGATCTTTCAAATTTCACCCTTTGTCTCAAAAAACTGCACATTGTATTTTCACTTAAATTTATATGTGCAGTATAATAATGACTAATAGCTATTTTGAAATCATGGATTGGAAACTCAAACATAAAGTGCCATTTCAACATATGCCTCAGAAATTAAACAGGGGTGTATAAACTTTCCTTAAAAAACATTCCACCAATGATAAGATCCATACAATATAAGAATGCTTAATTTAGGGTTCTTACTAAGGTTTTGAATAACAAGGACAAAGTTTGAAGAAGAGGGAACCGAAATGGTGACATATCCATGATGAAATGCTCAGTTATATGATCCAATGACTAATTTTAAGGGCAGTTCAATGATCAATAATTGTAACTGTCACAAAGTTAAATCACAAACTGATCATTGCAAGTATGCAAAATACCTAACATTAGCAATGAAATGAATAATAAAGGATTTCAATATTTAGGAAATGAGGTACAAATACTAATGACAACTAATTGCTTGAAACTCTTTACTCTGTCGAACTAGCCAAGACATAAATTTATACATCCTTTAAAAACCCTGCAACTAGATGTCCAGGACAACATTTTTAATTTTGTCCTGTTTTCCTTTGCTTTTTAGAATACACCTCACTCGAGAAGAACTCTTTCAGAAGTGTAATATTAAGCCACACAAATCAAAGGTAGATTGATTATTCTTGCAGGGGAAAATATTATTGATAGATATTTAGAAACAGCATTCTGAATGCTAACATTGCAGTCTTGTTACTGCAGGTATGGCTTTAAGATGTATACAGTTAACTATAACTTTATAGTTGTATAGTTACTGAACATGCAGTAAGCTTATGTCAATCATAAATTTAAAGTATTTCCAAACCTTAAGCATGGCAAAGCATACTATTATTTTGATGCACCATTATGACAAATTGCACCATGTCTTCTAATTTGTATTCTTGTGTTTGTGCCTCAGAAACATTTGCATTCGTTGTTATTAGTTTAAAAAGCACCTGTTGTTCAAATTTTATTTTCCCAAATGCGCAGCACCCCAAGTTATGTCACTCATAATTTATCAGTTGTTGCCTTCACTGATATTATAGAGTCATGATGATGACACACAAACTGGAGGTGCCCCACCCCCCCTCCCACGCCCAGACTATGATAAAAAGGAGAAAATCACAGGTTGGTTGTTATCACTTTTGATAGATTTTCAAATTTCATCTATGGTTTTTTATTATAAATTTCCTCAAATCAAAGAGGTTACTTTTTAAAAGATGAGCTTTTTCAGAGAAAGTTTCTACATAATCTACAGATAATTCTATAATATTGCAATAACTTTCACTAACTTTTGAATCATAAGATTCTCTTTTGAAACTGTTGTAGCTAACCATATTGGCTGAATAATGAAACTGTGTTTAATTCATAGTGCATATGGAAGTGCAAATAATTCTAGAATATGATTTAGTGAAATGACTCAGATGTCCAAGTTTATGGTTTTTAGAGAGCTCAGCGAGGAGGCCTCATCCAAGATCAAGACCTGGTACAACACCTGTGGACAAAAGAGATCTTGAGGGATTAATCAAACCAGGGCCTCCTCCTCCCGTAAAACGACGGAGCAGCGAGCCGGGTGAGGCTACCTTCTTTTGTTACAATTACAATAAAAGGAATAAATAGTATTAAAACCACCAATTTTTCTTCATTATCCAAACCAAGCTGTAAAATGATATGTTTTCACCAATTGACTTGACATTGGGTTCTGTTAAAGCCTTTGGGTTCTGTTCAACAGTGGTTATCGGTTAAAACTTTAACAACTGAAGGAAATGTCAGAGTGAGACTTTCTTTATCATATGATTGTTTCTATTTTTCAGTGACCTCAGTTTTAGATCTCCATTCCAAGGTAATTTTAAATGCATTGCTTATAATTAATCTGTTCAGTAGTGCTTTGATTTTACTTTACTCATATTGATACATATATATATATTTGTGTAAACTTGTCTTATCAAAACCATAGTAACCAATTTCCTTTGATATATCTTTTTTCTTGAAACAAAAAACACCAATGACAAATCTACTACCTCAGTATGATAGAGCTCCTGCCCGTATCCCTGAGGAAGATCCTCCACCTCCTCCTCCTGCTCCCCGAGGACCTGTGCCTTCACCTGATGACTTAAGGCAGCCTAGAGCAGCACCAAGACGACCAGTAGGAAGTATTGCATTACCAGGTTTTCCCGGTATGTACAAACCTTCAGTCAATATATATGCAAAAGCATTCAATCAGAATGAAAACATGCTCCAATGTTTTCCTATGGACATTATAGACAACTCCAAAACAACTTAACTTTAACTTTAACTTTATTGAAAATTGTTACACGTACAGAATAGTATTGGCAACTGGAGAAAAAAACAGGATGATGTCCCAATTGATGTTCAACCCCAAAACTTTGTTATGAAGTCTGCCATACACCATTCAAACAAATGATTTCTACCCTACATGCCAAACTATTACACAAATTGGTTGAAACCATGGACTTTATCTTGAAGAATGTTTTCAAAAGTGCATTAACAAAATGAATGACTGAATGCCTACAATTTGGTACTGCCTTTTAATTTGAGGTTAATGTATGAATTGATATCTATTGATTTTAAAATCGCTTTTAACAGAATGTACTAATTTACTTTCAGATACACCCCCTCCTCAAATACAACCAAGGGTTCCACCACGTGTTCCTCCTAAGTAAACGTGTCAGTTTACAAGCTATAATATTTTTCTTAACCAGAGAGTTGATTTTAAAGTCTTTAAAGATGTTATATTTAGTTATAATGAATTAAATATAAATGGAAGGCTTTATGTGTAGCGTTATAAGAAGACTAACAATAACAACAACAATAACAATTAAATAAAGTTCTTATATGGTTTTTAACATTTTGGGCTTGTAATCCATCATTACTTACGATTTAGAAATTAATTTATAAATAATGATTTTTTTTTTATCCCAGTAAGGTCGAGTGTAGATTGTTCAATCAAGTAGTTTATGGCAGAAAACACGGGTAACAGTTATAGAGTGTCAGACAAGAACAATAGCTTAGATTAGTTTATCATGTATGACCAGCAGGACTGGTCATGTCGTTTATTTTACACACTTAATTAGTTCCTTGAACCGAAATGAACATTTATCACCAGATATTCTTGAAGTGGGGTCGATTGGCAAAAAAATGTTTATGTAGTGTAGGTATAAACTAACACTCACAGGAACTGAATTGGTTGTTGTTCATTTGCTTGTCTGTGTGTGGTTGTCTATTTTTTTTTCTGTTGTTTCAGATGATAATTGAATAGAAGGAAAATTTCCATGCCTTCCAGCTTTTTTCTGAGATGCAGTTGTGAGACTTTCCGCAAGGGTGTGTCAGGATTCCAGAAAATTATAGGACAATATCCAAAGCCGTGAAAGGATAATGGAAGACATCTAAAAAAAACAAATTGAAAAAGCTTTAAGTTTGAAGTAAATTAGCTTTACCTCTGAAGCATGCTGACCTCAGATCCAGTTGATCCAATTGATCCAGTTATGTGAATTATTTACGTGCATAAGTGGGCATGAGTTTGGTGCATTACCAAACTTTTTTTAGGGTGAATTTAATGGTGTTAGGGGCGGTTCTGTTCTGACCATGATTGATAAAATGGTACTAAGTGCTAACCAAGCTAGGCTAGGCCTTTTGTAAGCATAAAGATACTTTTTGCTAATATGTTGCTATATTAACTTAAGATGTTTTAGGTAAGTATTAATATTAAGTGGTTCATTATTTTTTAAGACAATTGCATGAAAAAATTTTCTGCACTTGAACTTGAAGCGTGATTTAGGGTTATTTTTCACAGTTTTTTGAAAGTTATAAGTCTTATTTTGTATAAACAACTTGATGCAGTAACACTGCTTGGTTAATCAATCAAATTAGACTGAATGCTACTCAGCAATTTGAGACTTGACAAAGGAAGTTATTGTACTTAAATAGTGGCTTACATAAAACTTCATATGGTGCAATAGGTCATTTAACGTACAACATTATAGTTGAATCAATGTGTAGGAATGATAGAAGTCCATTTTGCTGCTTTAGTTTACCCAAAATAACGTATTTTTACAGATATATAGTTTTTCACCTTGAGAGCGACATATAATGTATGCTTTAATAAGTAGGGTAGAGTATTTTTTTGAGTGAGGGATTCGAGTTCCCGTCGCATAGGGAATGAAGCTTTCATGCCGTTTCTACCATAGTTTATATGATTATTTTATTTCTAAACGGGTATAATAACTATATTTTCTTAGAGTGGATAGCTTTTAAGAAAATCGCCTCGCTTTAAAATCGTATTCCGTTTGCCTTTGTATTTTACACGGATAGCCGATTAAAATTATTTTTACCATTATTTTGATACGCTCTTTCTTGAGTATTTCTAAGCAAACAGCTATACTACATGTACATGACACCTCTTATATATGAATATGGATATCAATTACAAGGCGGCGCGCACAGAAAAAAAGAAGACATGATTCAAACTAGTTCTCTATAAAAAAAAATCTAAGTTAAATTAATGAAACTCACCTTCAATATGCAACGTTTGTTTGGGATTTTACTTGCAGAGAGGGAAGGAAGAGCTCGAGGGACTTAAGCCCCCCACTTTTTGCGAAGGAGGACGGCATTTTATTTTGTTTCAGTATGAGATTCCTGTGAGGTAGGTAAAACAGAAAGAAAGAGAAAACAAAAAAAGTCCGGTTCATCGCAGATTATTCCGTGAGATCGCGATGAAGTTGGATTTCCTGTGAAAATTTAGTTACTGTCATAAAGAGGATACTACACGGTGGCGGGAACTTTTCGACAGAAAATATCTCATGGAGAATGTAAAAATACAATTTTTGGGACTCTAAATTTCAAAATTTTCTGGGGGATGATGGGCTCGTTTTTGACCCCACCCCCCAGTTGAGAATTGGCTCCGCAATCCCTGACTGAGGCCCAGAAGTGAGTGAAGTAGTATTTATTTCCCCGTTAACTGTGCAAAGCGCCTCATTAGTTGGCAGCCATTTTGTTATTTAAGTTGTATGTTGCAAGGACAGATAATGCACCTTAAGGAAGCATGCGTCATACCTGTCTCAGCGCCAGAATCCTCCCACCCTCTTTTTTTTTCTCTTTGCACGCTTGCTCTGATCCAAACAATGTGGTAATACTTGCCTACTCGTTCAATTTCCCTTTACGCGTTAAACAACTGACACCAAAATCAAAATCGTTATGGCAGGTGTTTTCACGTGACGCCACGTCGAAAACGTGTCGAGGGTAGTTCCATTGTTCCTAAATTTTTACTTTATTCAAAGCCGGGCATACATTCTGGTTTTGATCGTTTCAGAATGGCAATAGTTCAACAGAAAAAAGAGATTGTAGTGCTAGAACATGTGTGAGTTCAAAGTTTACGATATCAGCGCAGTTTCACATGCATCTTACAAATGATTGTAATTCTTCGCAATGTTTTGAAATGACCGGAACGACGACCGGAACCAGGGTCCTCAATCAAGGTTAAAGAGCGCATGCACGGGCCAGAAAACATCGATGTTATGTTCATTGTCTGTTTTCTGTTGCTTATTCAGGTTTAGAAAACCGGAAAACATATAAATCATCAGTATGTTAAACCACTATTGTTGCCAGGAAATGAAGATAAAAATTTCATGAACTACACTTTAATTTGGTTACATTTTAAGAGGGTTTCAATGGGGTAATGGCTTTTACGACCAACAGATAAAATCTTGGCCATTTTACGGCTAATGGTTAATAACTTTCCGGTATCATTAACATAAATGTGAAATAATAATATCAATTATTTTAAAAGTTAACAATTGATTTTCAATGTCTTAAAACACATTTATGAACGGTCGTTTATTTCTTGGATGACGCGTCGTAGATGGGAAAAATTTTTATGGTTAACTTTTTTTACGACTAGCGGTTAAATTCATTAAATTTTACGCCTAACGGCATTTATTGATTAAATATGCATTAGTAAACCTTCCACCCGGCTGAAAAGTCTTTGTCCTTGTATATCTACAATCCTGTTCACAATCAAATGATCTGACTAGATTTCTGCGAATTCTACTACCGAAGGTGCATGTCTAGCCCAGTCACCCGAGTGGCAGTTGTGTGGTGGTCTCGTCCCTCGAGGGGGACCATGTCTGAGCGGGAAGTATACAAATTAAACTATTATCAGCCTCCATACTGATAATCTTTCGCATTCCAACTCTTAATGTATAAATTCCTGATTACATAGTAAATATGATTTGCTTCCTCTCAGTCTGCTTTCCCAAAAGAGAAGTGAGGGATGGATGATTGTTCATATTCTTGGAATACGATTATTCCCCATCAAATGTGTGCGGGTGTCGATTTTTACGTCTTCTGACTAGCACGCCTTTCCTTTGGAAACGACTTGATGCTTTTTGGTCTCTCCACTTCAGTTTTCTTTCCCGTATATGAAGGAAAACTTGACTTACAGCAGCTCTGCCCACAGTAGGATGGGCAGAACTGTGGCGCATGCCGTAAGCATTGCACCGGGCAGGCCGGCTGCGAGGGCATGGGCGGAGGAGGCGGATAAGGAGCCGGTGCTGGAGCGTAGACAGGAGGAGCGGGATAAGAAACAGGTATTGCTGGAATTGTGGGACCCACAATGACCTGAGGAGTTGGAGCGACCGGTTGAATAATCGCAGGAGGACTACACGGAATCCCAGTCGAGCAAGCAATGCTGCATGTAGGCGGTGTGCAAGGAACTGGGCACCCCGCGGGTTTGCAGCCTGAGAAACCAGGTGGAAACTTAACTCCTGCGGGAGAAAGACAGAAACGCAAAGTTATTTTTACCCACGTTAAGCTTCGGTACCTTCATGTGGTTCATCCCTTGACGAGAATAGTTCCAACTCCAGTATAAAAGGGACTATATAACTATTGAGTCTTTGTTGTGATTTTGGTGCCCAAAACAAGCTGCTTGCCACAACAGGGTGGTTTTACATGCACGTCTTCTTTCTGCAGTTGCCTTTTTCCGTTAATCTTTATTGTAGGTGGTTAATTTATCAAATGCGTGACTTTCTACCGACTCACGGGCTCCTGTACTATTATTCAGAAACTGCCATAACTTGTGGCAAATTACTCACCTGTCCCATTGTATAGCCTCAGTGGTAATTTATCAACTGGAATTCCTCCCATAAATCCAGTTTTCAGTAAGTTTAGTAACAGCTGCACGGGGTTAGGTATGGTGTTTAAGAACCTCAAGTAGAAATCTACCAAGAGACTGCCGGGACTGCCAGAGAACAAAAACAAGAGGTAATCAAATACGATTAGATTCGTATTATCAACGCATATTAGAGCATATCCCGAGTATCGAAATTAATCTAGGACTGCTTTGATTTGCTCTCTTTCGCTCTGTAATTGGTTCAGAGAACTGGCGCCACTCTCTTAACCAATCAGATGCAAAACTAAAACCTATCACGACTTGATCGCACGCGTTTTCCCGCGCTTTAGGCAGTTTGATCTGTTTTACTTTGAGTTATCATCGGTTCTTAGAGGTATTTTCTTGTCTCCTCATTGGTCGTTGTGATCACCTTGGACTTTCTTTTACTATGCTCAATCGAAAAGCGTTTTAAATTACGGTCATTTGAATCAATCAGGAAATCGCACGGAGGTTACTGCTTACATCTTATGCATTTCAAAATATGTCGACGCCCGACTTATACGTTACTGGGTCATGTTCTACTTACAACTATTGTATATAACTTTTCAGGGTCAACAGGCGTCTCACCGCCCATGAAAAATCAGAAGTTAAATTCTCTTTTTAGTACTGACGTGTAGAAAAGGAATTTTTCGATTTTCGTAGAATTATCTTGTCTAGTTTATGATTCCAACCAGATCCGTAATTGCAGGTGGCCGTAAAATTTCAGTAGCCTTTAAGGATGAATGCAGTTGTTTCGAGAAAGGCTTTCAGAAAAAAACGTATAAGTGCACGTAGAAACCCCAAAAGGTATTGTGATTAGGTTACGGTTCCTTGACCTCACGATTTCAAGGAATGTGAGAAAATGTCATTGTAAGGACGGGGCATGGCAGGTTTGATGAATCTATTTATTTATTTGACTTATTAAAATTTATTGATTACCGGATATCCAGATTACTTTTTCAAGATTTTAGCCTGCACTTTCATCCTTTTATCCGACAACCTTTCTCCAAACAGCTGTATACACAATTCATCTATGCTGTAAGCCTATATACCTATCCAAATCTTTAATATTAAATGTTGGCCCTTGTTTTCCACTTATAGTAGTACCTACCGAAAACTTTGAACATTGCATTCTTTAACAGCTTTACCTCCCTGAATAGCTGACTTTAACTGGGGAAGAAAGCATTCGAACCAGCATGTTTTAAGTTCAGTTAGTTGATTCAGGAACGGGAAGAAGAAACGAATGTTTTGAAACAGTGTGAGGTACGCTTGTGCAACTTTTGAAATTACAAATGAGGCATAATTTACTTTTTTTGCAATGCAACAGGGCTGGACAATAAGCTGATAGGAAATTACAAGCTCTTATTCCATACTGATACTTTCTAAAGCCATTAGGGGACGTTTGATTGGTCAGCGACGAGAGAGATCAGTGTGCTAGAAATAAGCAGTTTTGGTTATTATTGATATGTTACCTTGTTACAGAGGTTCTTTGACAGTGTCTTGAACTGTGCTGATTTTTTATTGTTGAGTACAGGCTTGTGTGCAGCACTAGGTAATCTCACTACTGCATTGAACGACTTCTGACGAGAACCTTTCCACAGAAAGAGAGAAGAGTTATCTTCATGTGTCATGGTATGCTCCTGAAGTTCCATTGCTCTCCCCAAAATGTTTTATTTCCTTTCTTCCACGTTCGGCTTTTTACTTAGAGACCTAAACGTTTCCGTGGTGGATTATTATTATCCTTATAGCACGCATGGCCCTATGACTGAATTTGTTTCGAGAGACCGCTGTTCTAACCTCACTACATGGTACGTACGTACCTGGTTTATTTCCAACCGACGTTAACGACCCTGGTTTGGCGGTAGCGGCTGTTGTAGGTGTGGTGCCACCGGCTCCAGGCTTTGTAGACAAGGTCGGCTTTGTTGCCGCTTTCACTCCAGTTGCAGACGACGTCACAGATGGGGTCGCCAAAGATGTCGGAGCCACTGTTGGCTTACCGGCGGATTTGGCTGCAACAGCTGCCTTAGCTGCTTGAGCCGCTTTAGCCTGGGCTGCTGCCTTGGCGACTGATGCTGCGTTCTTTGCTGCAGACGCCTTAGCGTTGGCTACCACTGCTGCGGCTGCTGCTTTATTTTTAGCTGCTGCTGCTTTGTTTGCTGCGGCTGCTGCCTTGGCGGCTGATACAGCTTTTG